CATAAGCGCCCTATTCTTTTTATGCATGGGTAAACGAGGTAAGTGTGGTCTAAGAGAGGGTGATACGAACCGGTATTCCTGAATTGCATCCTCCAAAGCTCTCCTCAATTCTTCACTGCATTTGTGAGTACTTACTTCCGTAGTCCTGTCATCATTCGGCGTATCAACAGAATCAACATCCACTTGTCCTTGTTGTACATTTTGCGATAGCGGTATGATGACACGGCTCCTAAGTACTTCACTTCGCAGTCGATCAAGCACGATATCATCCAACATACGATTACGCTGAATGACCCGTACCTGATCCGACAGTCGTTGCGCCGATACGTTGATGGTTGGTTCGAGCACCTGAAACATAGCAAGCATTCTGACACGGTACGCTGTCAGGTTACTTCCTCCCTCTGTTGCCCCAAAATATGCGCGCATGACATTTTCATTTATGGATCGTGTCCATTTCATGCGCGACACATTACCACCGGGCGCTGGGACCCCTCCCGAAGCCAATGGGCTCCGTGGTCCTAAGCGACTCGATGGCCGACGACCTCCCCGGCGACGGCGTGAAGGTGGTGGCGTCGTTGGCGGGGAGAAGTACTCGTCACTCGAACTCGACGCGCCAGCATCCGTCAGTGGCACCTCTTCATCTGGGACTGGTACCGACGGTGGCGGAGCGGAGCTAGGTGACGAGGTCGGGGATGGCAGGTGTGTCTGTGCCCGTAAAGCAGCAGCAGCTCTTCTCGTCAACATTTATGATTATAGTTTTTCGTTTTGTATACTGACATTTCTTTGGCACTGGCATTTAAAGTCACTTTATATATGTGTGAATATTTTTATATTAGAATCTTATAATCTTAAAGCCATAAAACAATAAAGAAAGAAATATGTAAAACCATTTCATAATAAATAACAAAAGAAAACTTCTGTTATTTGTATTTATCAATATCATATCAAATGGCAACACAATAGTTATTTAATATAATACAGGCCCAACCTGTTTTTTATGAAATGATATACAAAATATTTCTTAACACATTGTACTCACTTGTTCTTCATTAATTGGATCAAGTGTTTCTTTTCCTTTATTATCTTCTTCTGTACTATCAACCTTATCTAATTCAGGTAATTTCTAAAATGCAAAATCAACACAATAGTTAATGAGAAAAATATAGTCTTATATTTTAAAATATTGAAATTACATACATCTACAAAGTTATTAACTTGCGCCACACCGTTTAAGTTTAATACTTCATGGACTTCATCATATTGTTCCTTGTCAAATGTTACTACAAACTTCAGTTGTTCTTTATTTTCTGCTTCCAACTTCTTCTTCTTTTCAACATCCATTAAAATCTTCTGCTTGTACTGTTTCTCTTTCACTGCTAGAACATGAGACTTAAGTTTTTGATATGTGGCTTCACACTTCTTCCTAAATGTGTAATATTTGTTTAATTCATTATAGCAGTCTATACACACTATGTTTGGTAAACATTCTTCTCTTGTCACCTGAAATAAGAGAATATAAAAGTTGTTCATTTAAGTTCATGTTGCACAAACCATCGGATATTTATCTACTTTTAGCAGTGGTCCCGGTCCTTCTATGAGGGCCCATACAATATAGGCTTTCAGATTATACATATTCCAAGATATCAATCAAAAAATCGATATCTTACCTCCAAACCCACACAAATCATGATTCTGATTGCTAATGTTGCACAGACTGTGTCTGAATCATTTGTGAAGATAGGCATGGCCTCCATGGCTTTGTTCAGACACAGGCGGCATAGTTCATGTACATCTTCAATTAGTTGGTTGCTAGGACGCTTCCTTGCATACGTCCTCATTATTCTACACAAAATCACAGCTCTTTACAACACTGAACGGTTCAGATACTTATTTAATTTTCCACCATGGAAGTTTCACTTGCTCTTTTGATAATTTTCCTTAGTACTACACTTTAACGTCTGAGATACTTTTTTAGAACTTTTAAGAAAAATATTAGTGCGTAGTCCGGTTTTGTTTAAAACAATAATATAACCTCAAATTGTTAGTGGAGATTTAAGGATGTTTTCATCACAAGTACTTTAACGGTAAGTATTACAAATTTGAATATTTAATACAATAAAGACTAATAAGTTAATTATAATTTCATTAAATTAAATCCATTTCTTCATACACCCTGTTACATTTTCTTGCTGCTGTTTGATTTGACATTGACATTGCATTGACAAGATTTTGAAGACGATGACAAACAATGTAAATGACATTGATGTTTAAAAATTGTAGGTAAGTAATCATAACCAATCAGCAATATTTTTTTACTAGCTGTTACCCGCGACTTTGTTCGCGTGAAATAATTCATTTTTCTTGTTAATTTATACTTTTTTGACGCGACAACGTGTTAATTGGCGAGGCTAGCATGAAACGGAACGTTTATTGTCTACTTAAGATGGCGACTGCGGTTTATCTGTCAGTGTCATTAAAATGAATTATTAAAACGAAATAATCTCCGTAATTCGAATTTTGCGGATATATGTTGTCGACTCGAAATCGATATTTTTTTATGTTTTATTATTTGTGTAATGTTTCGATCGAGTCTACCGTACCCCTTGACGAAATTATTAATATAGATTTTTGAATTCCATCTTACCTTATAAGCGTATTATCCTGTAAAAAAATTTACCCATTGAAAGATTCTTAACATCTGATATAGTAGAAGATTTACCAATAGTTTAGAAATAAATTGATTTGAATATTATAAAACAGCATAACGCCTTTTTAATCCCCACAGGGACTGGCTGGGGCAGAGGCAGGGGCGTAGCTTTCGCCGTATCTGCCTTATCAATTATACGGGGCCGCGGGCCCCCGGACTACAGGGGCCCCCAACGTGCTTAAGCAAATGTTAATAAAAACTTCCCAATTTTCATCCTATTTCAGTAATCACAATAGTCAAAATAAAAGATTTTTTCCGCGTAACATGCGTTCAAAGGTTGGCAGAAGGTTAAGAAAAATACTAATTAGAGCAGAGGGAGTTGCCTGAAAACATTTTCGGTTTTCACACAGATTATAAGTATTTTATGTAAAAACAAACTTTGTGAGAAATGTTTACCCTTCATTCAAGGGCCCCTAACCAAATTTTATACGAGACACTGGGCAGAGGTCTCTTACAAAACCATCAATGTAGATATTTTTCGGTTTACGAATTAATATACCTACACCAAGTGACTAACGTTGTTGCTTCAGCTGTATAAAGCTAACTATACCTATCTTTCGATTTAGTCATGCTCGAAAGCTTGCATTAAAACCTACTCGAAACTTTACGAACAAATTCGAAAGTTTTCCAATTAACCAATATGATGTAATTTAATAAATAATGTACTGTAATTTGGTTTGGTTTGGGTATATCAGTAGCTAGTAGATATTCGATGTATTATTATAATAAAAATGTGGCATATCCGCGTCGAGTCGTGGTGGTCCGGAGGTTTAAGACGCCCGCTTCTCATGTATGAGAGTGCGGGCTCGAAACGTACCTACCAATGGCAAGTACCAATTTGACTTTTTCCGAGTTATATGTATTTTTTTTTTATGGACAAGCCCGCCACAACCTCCCAAAACCGCTGCAACTCCTGTAAGCCAGGATCTACAGTAGATACAACCATGAAAACACCAGAACACTGAAGTCCGGCGCGTCCCAGGGACATGAGTTACTGTCTTGGTTCCCGCAACGAAGAAGAAAAAACTATGGTTTTCACTTCCCTCGGTGAATAGAGTTATATGTATCTAGACACCTCTGACAAACGGTGAAGGAAAACATCATCATTATAATTTCTAATTATTAGTTTGAAATCGCCAACCCGCATTGAACAAGCGTGGTGATTAATGCTCAAACCTTCTATGTGTGAGAAGATATATTGCTTAGCAGTGGACATTTATAGGCTGTTGAGTGTTGATGATATCCGCGTCGCAAACTCTAACACGTAATCCTGGGATTTACTCGATGAAGAGATTCTCAACTGCACCGACATAGGAGTGAAATCAATAGTAATGTATAGGTAGAACCATAATTTATTGAATAAAATTGTAATGTTACATAGCGGCTACTGAAAATAATTAAAATGTAGGTATTTGTTTCCCGTCCCACTACTCGAACGAAGCGAATTGCGTGGAGTTTCAATAGAATACCGACACCGCAGAGTATGGCATTTTAACAAGCTGAAACATATAAACAAAATAGATTAAAATCCTGAAAAAATAAGGTTTGTAAATAACGAAAAGGTATTTAAAAAAGGAAATAATTAAATGTCAATGGATATAATAACTTACTCTAACGTACGACTCGTAGGAGAATTCTACAATCCCCAATGTCTTATAAACCACTGGATTCTGTAAAAATAAATGGGCAGAATATACTTACAAATTCTATTAAAATTAAGTAAGTTATTACGCAGTACCTACCTAAGTATTAGTACGTTCAGACGAATATAATGGGACGCAGAATAATAAATTCCTAATTTTTACTTTAATGTTCGTCTGGTAGATTACTTTATATCATTAGATACTTACGTATTTTTTATTTTCTTACAGAAACGAATACTGTCGACGATATATTGATTTAAAATACCTATCGCATGACGTCACTTCTATGTACATTTTATACATAGAAATGACGTTTTAGCCCCCACTCCTAAACTTTGATTCGTTTTATCTAACTTTTGTTTTATTATACGACAAAATAAAAAATACATGTCTAATATTTTTTCATTATTACCTAACTTACGGACTAATTATATTTTTAATTTTCATACCCTGTCATCTTCCCAATTCAATCGCTTAATATAATTATCATGCAGATTCGAAACTATTTCAATATCGCCTTGAGCCATTTCTACTCTTTGTTTAAACCGTTTTGATTCCATAAAGACTTGGAGCTGAACAAGCTTCGGAGCACCTTAGTACTCACCTGAGCCTGCCTCAAGGCGTTGGCCACTAGCTTTCTGATGCGAACAGATGATTGTCCGTAACAGTTCTGCCAGCCCGAACAGTACATCGCCTCCGATAGCTTAGATGCCTGAAAATAAAATCTCTTTATATTATAGTATGTACACTACTACTACTCTTTATATATAGTACTAGCGACCCGCCCCGGCTTCGCACGGGTGCAATATGTATATACATACAAACCTTCCTTAAGAATCACTCTATCTATTAAAAAAAACCGCATCAAAATCCGTTGCGTAGTTTTAAAGATCTAAGCATACATACGGACATACAGCGAAAGCGACTTTGTTTTATACTATGTATTGATGTAAACTATACTATGTTTTGGTTGTTTTGATTTTGTTAATATTTTATAGAACATGTCTATCAATCACATTGATATTGTAAAAAGAAACCTACATAAGAATGTAGTAGGTAATGTATTGTAATATAACTTAGATACCTCTAATGTGATGTCGCCTCCATTCCACATGAAAAATCCCAATGCAAGACATGTCGTTACCGACGTAATGAACATCGTGCACAATTGAGTCATATTCCGACCACCAGCCTGAACGGAAATTAATTAAAGAATTTATTGTATGCACAATAATTAACTATCTTTGAATTAGTAACACACGGAATTCCGCACTTAAGAGCTATGTAGTGAAACAATATGAGTGACTATAGCTAGACTATAGACTCGTAGTAGTGTAGCTCAGCTACGACGTAGCCCACTGTCTGCTACGCCGTAGCAGAAATTTTGACTTCTTATAGTAACTTGGCAGTTATACTTGTAGGCAAAAACGTATAAAAAAATATAAAAAAATACAATACCCACCAGCAAAGCGGTAAGCTGGGACAGCAACATTCCGAAGAATAGAAATATTTCAGTAGCGAATAGTTCTTTACTGACGTGCTGGTGCTGATTCTTGCACCTGGTAAAAAATATTTTTAAATTACAACAAAATACATAAACGAAAAAAGGTACAAAATGGCGTCAACCTACCACAATGTAAGCGAATGCATCTTTATTCCAAGTTTAAACGCATTTTCATATTTCTTCTCCTTCTGTTCTTGGCTCTGTGTACCGTCAGAAAATATTTCATCGAGGCTATAGAAGTAACTCTGTAGATTTTTAAATTGATAACATATGGACACTAGCATGGTAACTAGAATTAAGAAAGTGACCATGATCCGTGCTGCGAAAGGGTACCACCAGAAGTAGACAAAAACTCTGACTAAACCAGCTGCCGTAGACCTGTCATGAATATCTGGCCACGCTGATGTGATTGTTACAAAAGTTTCACCTGGAAGAGGGATAGTAAATAATTTGACCTATGAGAATACGGCGCGTATTTAGACTTAGTTCATTACATCGTCCAAAATATGTTTTGAATACAAGTTCTATAATAGTAACCAAGTATTTCCATATTTGAATCAATTCGTAATATCAAGTTTAAGTACAAGTACATAAGTGAAGTACAGAGTGATTTACCTGCAGTAACCACTCGGTAAAATGCACTCAAACCATAAGACACCACCACCATCCCCACAAGACCACAGAGACTAATAGAAAACACTTTAATCTTCTTGATCATTTCCCGTTCCAAGTCCTCATCGTTGTAGTGCTCTTTCAGCACCACAGCCAGATGATACAGAAGGTTCCTGATCTCATGTCTGCGGTACAACAAGATGTAATGGAACATTATGTTCCCAGGTAAGGTAATACTGAACATCATCTGATCCGTCTTCTGCTTCTCCGACAAATTCTTCTGAGTAAGTAATGACCCTAAGATCGTTGTGGCAAAAATTATGTAGAAAATCTCTGCGAAGAGCAAGAGTCTGTTACAAGAACGGGCGCTAATGAATCGGTTTGTCAACTTTACGTCTTCTACCCATATGTTTCTCAGACCGCATATAAAACAAATTACATTTAGTTTGCCTAATAGCTTTGTCATTTCATTTGGTTTATACATTGGTATTTGATTACTCATTTGGTAAATTTTTGATGCGTAAACATTTATTCTTTTTTGATTTTCCTTCTTTGCCCCATTCGATAGTCACCAGTCTGCTTTACACAAAACATCCAATGAACGGTGCAGTTGTGGTTTTATTTGTTCTTTTTCATACAAACATCAAAGGGTTTAATGGCTACAAATTACGGCATAGACTCTACAACGGTGGCTATTAATTTGGTACACAAAGAGAGGCTTCTAATTAACTTAGATAATGTTTGCCAGAACACTGGAGGTTCACTACGTAAAGAGTGATACCAAAATGTAAAAAAAATCTAATGCCTATCACGATTTGAAAAAAAAAACACCCATGGACAGTGCAAAAATATATTGAAAAACAAAAAAATGTAATTAGGTGCACAAAAAGTTTTCATTCATTAATTTATCTGCCGTTTGAGACGTCGATATGGTCACAATTAGTACAACACAGAAAAGAGAGAATAGGACATCTTGACAATCTGAAAAAAAAAGAACAAATTTAATAAGAGGTAGCCAGTAGAAGAAAGAAAGAAAGATAGTAAATACAAACGTCTATAATGTGTAGGGTACTTACCGCTACGTAGGTTTCATACGAGAATGTCAAGTGTGCAAAGGCCTTTAGTTCAATCGACCGCTGAAATACAAAATTAAAAGCATTAATTTGTAATCCAAAATATCATGATACACTGTTAAATAAGTCAATAACAGAATTCATCCTTTTGTACTAATAAAGTATTGAAAGTAGTTGTAACCTGTGCCTGCATCATCGCCAAGACCACCAGCTTCCTGATTCGAGGAGACCTGTCGTGGCAGCACTGCCAGCCCGACCCGTACATAGCATGAGGCACGTTTGAAGCCTGAAATAAATACTTCAAATTACATAAAATATCTGTTGGTAAAACGAGCGTCAAATATGAGATGAGATCTAGATGAGTCAGTCTCTTTTAGGATAAAAAATATTTAAACAATAGCGCAAGTCCTAGTATAAATTTTTTGACACTCTGGCACCTCGACAGTGATGTCTCCTGCTGGCCACATGAAGTACCCGAGGCCCACGAGTGCGGCACAAACCCTCGGCGCATTCGAAACCAGCATCGTAGGTGAGTGTGTGTCGTTATTCTGAAAATAATTTGTGTTTTACAAGAATCCCAACGAACATATTATTCATTTGTAGCACTACAAATTATTAAATTAATTTACTTTTTATGACTAACAACTATTATGATCTTCAGTTTCTTTAATAGTTTAATAAGTGTCTATCTACCTCCGAGTACGAGTCAAAATAATATTTTAAAAAAATCTTTCAGTCAGACTTGATTGTAATTTTGAAACTACAATCCTTCCTCCTTTACCGTTGTCGGGTAATAAATTACACGAATGTCTTCAACATTATATTTAATCACAGCCAATCAGTCAATCAAGTTATTTGTTCCAAGTATGACATTAATCAGTGTCTATAATGACCTTGATCGTATGGTAGGTACAGTTATGGACACAATGTTTGGACTTGGTGCTGATTCAACTACGTACCAAAGCAAGAGTAGCCATTCTAAGCCCAAAGATTGTCGCAAGCCTTTTTTATTGAGTAAGGCGATAAATGACGGACCTTATGGACCTACGAGCATCGCATATGGTTAATCCACCACTACTTAGACTCACCAACACATCAGGAAGGATGGAGATGAGCAGGCCACACCAGAGCAGTACGTGGGAACTGAATGTTATTTGAAAGATGCGTTGGGTCTCATCCACACACCTGCGAACATAAATAGGTATATTTAAATGGCATAAAGAAAATTTGGCAAATAAAAAAGCTGCAAGATATTGATCAACAAAATCCTCTCACCACAATGTAAGCGCATGTTGCTCAATTCCCTTTTTAAACCTCACTTCAAATTTCAATTCCTGTTCCTCTTGACTTAGTTCTTTTTCAAGGAATATTTTGTTCAGATCTTCGAAGTAGCTTTGCAGGTTCTTGTACTGTTGGCTGAGTAATAGCAACGCCGTGTGTATGATGAGGAAGACACCCATATTGCGAGTCACGTGAGAGAACCAGAGAAAATAGACCACCACCCTTGTCAAACCTGCTAGAGTAGACCGGTCTTCTATATCCGGCCACGCCGATATGCATGTTATAAATGTCTCATCTGGTAATCAGAAACAGAAAAAAGTAATACTTATGTTCATTTCGAAAGTATTAAGGGATACTTTGCCCTTTGAAGTACACAAAATTAACTATGTACTACGAAAAGCGAAGCAGGATCAACTGTGCTACGCAAGCGTAGTATCCTGCTACGAGTGCTACGGAAACGTAGTACTTTTGCTACGAATGCGTAGTTAGCATAGCAGAAGGTAAAATCTGCGCAACACGGATAAAATTGGATAAAATAATTTACTTTCTACATTTATAAACATAATTACACACCTGTGGTAACAGCTCTATAAAAGTTATACAGTCCAACGAGCACCATATTGCAGACACAAGACGAGAAAAATATTCCATTATACAACTTAGATTGTTTTATCATTTCATCTTCGGCTTTCTTATCATTATGATCGACTTTGAGAACTACAGCGAGTTTGTATAGGACCTGTTTAACATCCTCTGTATAATATAGGATGACGAAATGGTATAGGACAGTAATAATGGGAGTAGATGCTGCGTACGCCAGCCTGTCGGATTTCTGGCTTTGGGAGAGATCATGTTGGCTCCAGAGCGAGAGGAAACATGAGGAACAGAATATCACCATGACTAAGTGGTTGAACAGCATCGAAGGCCGGTAGACCCTGGTGAAGGAGTCGGGATAATCCACCTTCTTGACCCAGAAATCTGGACAGCAGCATAGGAACCAGAACTTGTTGTACTTGTCTATCATCCTCGTTGTGTCTGTTTCCTTATATAGCTCCGTCGGCACTTCTGGGTTTCTGAAGAAATTCATTTTTGTTAAATTGGCTGAAGTTTTCTTTCCAGTGAACAATGTTGTCTAATTATGACTCAAAAGCAAAGAAAACTCGGTTGGAAGAAAGAAACTCGATGGTTTTATACTATGAATTATTGATTACTTAATTATTTGCTTGCAAGACTGTTTGTACAATTATCATTTAATATTATTATCGTTGGACAGTTTTGCTTTATATTTTTTGTTACTGATATTTTTCTGCTGAGATTACTTAGAATCCAAATGACAGAAACGATATTACATTTGGTGTTCAATATGTATTTGCCTGTTTAGCCTTTATTTAATAATTTAAGGAACTTTAAACAAGTATGTTATTGATTGATTGTTAGAAATTAAACGAAGATCACAAAGCTACATTTTATCACCATCAACTGCCTATAAATGTCCACTGCTGAGCAAAGCCTCTTCTCACACGGAGAAGGTTTGAGCATTAATCACCACGCTTGCTTAATACGGGTTGGTGAATACAAAATTACAATTAGAAATTATAAACCCAGGTTTCCTCACGATGTATCCCTTCACCGTTTTTCATTGGTGTCTAGATAATCTTAGAAAGTACATATAACTCGGAAAATGTCACATTGGTAGTTGCCGTTATTAGGTTTGGAACCCGCACCATCAAGTTACATTTAACGTCATATTATTTCGTTACATTTACACAAAGTGAACAAAATAGATAAAAATAGATAAATAAAAAGAAACACGTTTTACATAGCATTCAATATGCCTTAATAACTTCCTAGGACTTAGTCTTTATAACTGCTTATTAACATAAATGCAGGAACAGTTAAGTTAATGTTTACAAGTTTATTTATTATTCTATTTTCCATGGGAATCGCCATCAGGCACTCAATTATATGACGTTGTACAACAATAGTAATAACTGTTTACTGAGCTAATTAACTGTTTGTTTTATTTTTCTAGAAAACTTATAAACAATATACCTTTAAGAGATATGGTAAATAGTCCAAATGACGCCAGGCGTATATGTTGAGAACTGAGCCTTTGTTTAAAGGTAGGCAGAGGTTAGTAAAATTTTGAGTTCATTCACTTTCCAGTTGTATTATTTTTTTTTAATCTCATTTATTATAAGGGATAATTGTACACATTTTGTGACGATGTGAATCCCATCGTGCTTCTACATAACAAATGTATTAAGAACTTCAACAAAACAGTCTACTTATCTGTATAATATAAAGGAATATATAATTTTGTTTTAGTTGTATTGTTATTGGTCTATATTGCAATAATTAAGTGAGCAATATTCTGTCGCTTAAGATATTGAAAAATTCCGAATCGATATTTAATTTATCCAAACTATCAATGCTTTCTGAAACTCAGCGATCTCAAGTATTTTAAATAATATCATAAGAGTATATTTATCTACATTTATAGTGTTAATCAGATAAATAAATAAAATTACTAAAAAAGATATTTCTACGTTTGTGTAGCTAACTGTATTTGGTAGGTAGCTACGGTGTAGCTAACTGAATAGCGAATTTTGTAGACGACAGGTAACTACTAACTAGCCTCTATAAAATGTACGGAAATTGCTCTATTACGCAGTTTTCTAATAACGGCTTAATATTAAGAAAATCTACCAGTTACTGGTCTAACTGTAATTGTTTCTATAGGGCTGTTACTTGCAGATGGTAGAAACCACTAGAAACGAAGAATTTAATATTGACAATCCTTTATGTGTTTCAAATATGTAAACTTCTGACGTAAACCGTCATAAGTACATAGGGTTGTAGGTAATATTTTATCTAAGTTTAAGCATGCATGATGTGGCTTAGTCTTATAAATACTATTTTTCTTAATTATTAAAGCTAAGAAAATTTAATTCATGTATGTTTTCAATGTTCCTACATACAGTATTCTGATAGATTGCGACAACCCTTTCAGAAAGGGTTTCGCTGTGATTGGTAGTCGTTAGGAAATTAACCTAATTGTTGAAATTAAGTAATTGACTATTTGATCTGAGAATTTACTAGTTAGTCTGTACGTAATTCTTGAAAGATGGAGACCACGACGACTTCGTATACTCGAAGTAAAACTACAAACTTCTTCTATAAAATCAACTTCATAGTCTACATATTTGGCCTGCCAAACTTTTGGATAGAAGATCTAAAGTTATCTAAAAGATTCATGCAATTCTACGACAAGTTTTCTATGTTTAATAACACCTTAATTTTTTTGCTGATTATTTTTGAGTTATGTTCATATTTTACGCAGACTCAGTTGACGGAGACGCATCAGTCAAACCGGCTTATTTACGCAATATCTCACCCAATGCTATTTATGTTCCGCGTGATGATGACCAGTATCAAGGACAGAGTGAAACTGGTGATGTACAGCCTCAACGTAGGCCTGAAGAGAGTGCACAATGACCCTGAAGTAGAGAAGCAGATGATCGCGTGTACCATCATGTATTTGTCCGCTTTATTGCTAAGCTGTTTGATGTCGATGCTCATGTATGCTGCTGAAGGTTTCGGGGAAGTTATAAGACATGGTAATTAATCTCTTAAATGATATAATAAAATGAATTTGTAAAAATTAATTATATTGTACCTATAATTCAATCAATGAAACTCGTAATTAGCAAAATTAAGAATCATCCAAAGGTATAATTTACCGGTTTATTTTTTTATATTTGTTGGGCCGATGTTTATTATTTTTGTAGGTAGGACCTTTACAACTATTATCACTGCGTATCCTAAAGTCGAGGACGCCTCTGACATGGCTAACGTGGTGAGGGCCATCTGCTTTATCATCTGGTGGATCTTCCTGACCAGAATTTTCGCAGTGTACATCCTGGTCATCTCCCTGACCACCTGCCTCAGTTACCAGTACAAAAACCTGCAGAGTTATTTCATCAGTCTCAATGATATATTCGAGAGAAATGATCTCAGTCAGATAGAGAAGGAAGAACAGTACGAGACTGGCTTTAAAGTTGGGATAAAGCTTCATGCGGATACGTTAAGGTAAACCTTTGTTACATCTCTGACTCCCAGCTCCCTCAATATTCTTTTATCTAATAGGTGTACCATTTACATGAAATTACGTATAAACAGAGATTCCGACTGAAATGTGACTTGAAATGATATTTTTAAGTAAATGGAGGCCCAATTATCCCCCTCTTCAATCTCCTCAATCTCTGAATCCCCAAAAATCCTTAAATTTCTAATCCGTAAAAGGTCGGTGTGTGTGTTCCGGGTGTCCATAGGCGACGTTTGCCTACGACCTAAACAAAACCGTTTAAAAATATCGCATTCAAAAGGTTTAGACGATTAAGTCCCTAGATTCATGCTTATTTATGGTGTAACTAATTAAAATAAAAAATTAAGTTCGTTGAGCTCACAATGTGTTTCCAGATGTACACAGCTAACTCAATCTGTCTGCCGCGGAGTATTCAGCGGCCAAATTGTCTTCAATATCTTACTCCTAGTTGTGCTTATGGCGCAAATGGCGGTATGTATATAGAAAATGTTATTTGTGTTGGTAAAGTTTTCAGTAAGTAGGTAAATGATGCCATAGAAAAATAAATCATTTGAAGATCACCCTTTTGTTTATCAATGACCTTCGCAACGTGAAACTATCGGTATCGCTCATCATCATAATTTCAGAGTGGAATCAGCAATTTTGAAGCTGTCAGCGATTTCCTATCATGGGTTGAATGAAATAGTTTAATTTAGAAACACGTCCATTATATTTGTAGGCGAAGTTGGCCACTTAATTTTGTTTGATCATAGCCTAACTTACCTTAATGTGTCGTTAATAATTTAACATTATTTTTTTTGTAAAGAATTCGGAACGCACTCTTGTGAACTTAGGCTCAGCGGGGTTCACTGCGTGTGCTGTGCTCATTAGCACTGGTTTCTACATGTGGAACGCTGGCGATGTCACTGTAGAGGTAAGTCTTAGTGCAAGGCCGTAATTTGTTGAGCGGTGAACATCTAACGTTAATGATGCTGATAATGTGATATTGCAGGCTTCACATTTAGGAACAGCTATATATTTCTCCGGCTGGTATCATTGTCAAGGAGTGTCTTCAGTGCGTATCCGAAAGCTTGTGGTGATCACCATGTCAGAAGCACAGGTATTACCGACTTAATGTTTGATCAATATTATTTATCCTTTACTATTCATTGTTAGTTATATTTTGTAAGGTACTTAACTGGTGTTTATTTAGGTACTGGTACTGTTATAGAGTACGTCCTCTGCTGGCGAATGTGCAGCTCGCGACCAGTTTGCAAACTGCATGCAAATGGCTAGCAATCTGCACATCCGCGGAACATTCGCCGGACGCACCATAAATATGCTCTAAAATAGCTAAAAGGCGTTCTAATAGACTATGCTCAAAAATGTTTAAAAATCGAACGCCTGAAATGAGCATGTTATCTTTGAGAAACATTCCGATATACATGCTGCCAAGTGACAACTGTTGAAGCAAGCTTTTGTGCTTGAAATTAGCATAATTATGAAACAGTACCTTTATGCTACAGACTACCTACTCTCTACTTTTAGTGATAAGACATTAAGCCTCAACAGAGTAGATCAGTAATGAGTAATTAATTTTGTTCATAGCGTCCTGTAGTCCTCAAAGGCCTGGGATACATAGATCTTTCGTACCAATCATATATTAGAGTAAGTACCTTGGTAATGCTTTAGCTCGATTTTTTTCTTAAAACATATAAAAAACCTATTTATTATTTTGATTTCAGATTGTGAAATCATCATACTCCGTGTTTTCAGTGTTATTTTAAATCAAATAAAAACTGTAGGTTCTTTAATATTTATTAGTTTTAAAATGTATTTATATCATTTTTGTCCTTCACTACTTGCATATTGCTTTTACATACATGTTACCTAGGTATTATACACTATATGGCATTGTAATTCCATTAATTAAAGATGCAATAAAGTTCTGCAAACTATTATAAGGTCATTAATTCACCAGTAATTTCCTTCATTTGTTTCCTTGATTCAATCGCAAAACTTATAGCGTATTTTGTTCGTTAGTGTGCATTGTACATGTTACGATTTAAATGTAAATCGTCAATATAGCCTACAAATCTTCAAGTGAAACTGTAGGTACAGTTCAATTGTTTACATTGCACTATACAGTTTGTCCTACATATACCCTAGTAGTAGTAATACCTATATTACTAATATGAGCTCGAGACGAACTAGATTTAAAACTTAAATTGGTACCTAACATCAGCATACGCTTGTATTTTAAATCCATGTTTCCTTAAGCAATAAATTAAAAGCAATTAAGAATAATTGTTAGCAGAATGGCGTTTCACATTATTTTCTGTTATTTCAACCCCTTCTCGTATGTAAAATGTATAACAAAATGAGCCAGGTAATACTGCTATTACGGTGGTCTAATTAATGCCGACCATGATCTGACCAATTAATAGAATTAATTGATTTCCAATGAGTTTCATTACGAATTGCAGAGACGTATTCATCAAACTTTATAGGACCTTAATTTAAAAATTCTACTTAGATATTTCCATTGGGCAAAAGCGTGTTTAAGTAATGTTGTGGTAGCCTAGCGGTTTAAGAGATCTGCTTCTAAAGCATGAGGGTTCGAAATCTCTAAGTAAGTAGTTATAAGTTTGATTTTACCAACCCGCATTGAGCAAGCATGGTGATTAATGCTCAAACCTTCTCCGTGCAAGAAGAAGCTTTGCAAAGCAGTAGACATTTATAGGCTGTTGGTGATGATGATTATGAAAAGCGTGTTTACAGACTTACCACGAGAAAATAAATAAAAAAAAAAATTCATGGCATTAAATATTATTCATAGCATGACGAAAGTATAGAGTCACACATAGATATGCCTGTAGCCACACCAGCTGCTGATCAAATGTTGGCGATATACAATAGAGACTAACTTAAAACCGTGGGTCCGTTTCTAATCAGGAATACAGTAGGAGGGTAAGGCTGTTCAAAACTGCCTACAACTACATACCTAACAAAAAAGTTTTTAATAATTCTGTGGGTACTGTTATTATTAATTTTGTATATAATAGGTTACATACCTAGGTATATAATAGATATGTACACGCCTATGTATACATACTTTGTTACTAGTAGGTAGGCTCATTATTTTTAGAATAGCTTCTATTGCTTTCAATGAATATATATTGGTATCAAATGAATACATTGTTTTCATGATACGTCTCTGTAGTGGTATAGTTAGTTTATACTGATGTATCTATATAATAGGAGTATTTATTAATTCGCAAACGCACAGACGAGACTTTCCATCTGACCTACGTCAAAAAGACGTTTTCCGACAATGGAGAACTTTTCTGGGTCGTATAAGCAAACAAAAACGACGGAATTCCTAATTAACCTCAATAAGTTCATTTTCGTATTCGGCTTACCAAACTGCTGGGTAGAAAACTTGGACTTTCCTGACATTTTTATGAAGATTTTAAACGTACTGAGTATTTACGGAAACTGGTCAGTTATCATTATGATTATATCCTAGTACGGGGCCATTTATACACAGAACAACTTGTCTGAGCGCCAGAAGTCTGATCTTATGCTGTTCCTCATTTCTCACACTATTATCAATGGATTCCGAATTCGTATAAGTCACCAAAGAGACCAGATAAGAAACGTTATGTACAAGTTAGGCATTGCGTTGAAGGCCGTGCACAATGACTGTGAGGCTGAACAGAAGATGATCACAAGGTCCAAGTTCTTCTCTTGGGCACTGATATTCAATTGCGTGATGTCTGTCATCATGTACACGATCGAGGGAGTTCTAAGAGTTATACGAACAGGTTAGTGGATTTTTGGGATTAGCATTAAGAAGACCCAGGTGGAATTTGGAATATGTAGGTAACTTTAAAGGATAGATAAGTGCATAATGTCCTTTGCAGGGGATACATTTAACACCGTCATAACAGCGTGGCCTGATGTCCACGACAGGTCAATGCTGAGCAACATCGGGAGGACAGTAATCTACATCACTTGGTGGATCTACCTGACACGTATTTTCTCAGTCTACTCCCTAGTCATCTGCTTGACCATAGCCGTCAGCCATCAGTTCAAGAACCTCAAGAGTTACTTCTATAGCCTCAGTAAGATTTTCGAAAATGACAATTTGTCGCAAACGGAGAAGGAGCAGGAATATGAGAAAGCTTTCAAAGTTGGCATCAGCATGCATTCGGAGACGTTGAAGTAAGTGATAATTCCAATATGTTCATAAGTAGCTCTCATAGTGTAACAGATAAATATATGCAGCTTTCCCACTAACCGATTTTGCTAAGATTTAGGCAGAACTTTTAAATTTGATCTCAGAGTGCGAGTGTGTGAGACTTACATGAAATGTCTATTAAGTATCTTCTTACTTACGTTTATTTTTTTTATACCTCAGGTGTACGGAAGAAATTCAAACAATATGCCGAGAAGTGTTTAGCGGTCAAATTATATTCAATCTAACACTACTTATCGTGCTAATGTATCAAATGATGGTAAGCAGGTTCTCGCTATCAGACAGATCTCACTTATTTTAAGTAAAGACATAAACTTTATGTAGGTACTTATTTTTCAAACTATGTATGTATATGTGTACTACCTACACGACCACATACGCGCAGCTTTTGATGCGTCGCAAAGTGAACATAGGATTCGATATGTGGGCTGAACAAAATGTTATGATCTCGTCATTGTTATTCAGTTATAACTTAAGGCTGTCAGTAAATTTACATGGGACTCATAACATAAATAGTGAAAAGTGGGTGTTACTTCTGTGTGCACCTCTGCCTACCCCTTCGGGGATAAAAGGCGTGATATTATGTTTATTATGTATGTAAATTTACATAGGCACTTACATATTATAAGTTACAACACGAACTAATAACGGTTTAGCTACTTCATTGTAGTATGAACTAAATTTTGTATCCTATAATGGGGCTAGCCGTAGTACATAGCCCTACGTATAAAATAACGATAGAAAACAACACGAAAGAACCATTAAATAACTGACTGCCAGTGTTGCTAACCACTCCACCATGATATGACTGTTCCAGAATTCGCTCCGTACCTTTTCCAATGTATTGACGTTGGGACTAACGGCGCTGACAATCCTGTTCAGCACTGGCTTCTTCATGTGGAACGCTGGTGACATCACTGTCGAGGTAAGAGATGTCTCTGGGATGTCTGTGGGAGGCACTATATCTAAGCACCTCTCTACAGTTTAAACTGTCATAGAATACAAACGGCAGTCTTTTCTGTTAAAATTCAAATGTTTAGTGGCTTTTCCACCTCATTATTGACCAGGCTGAAGGAGTCCCGGTGGCCATGTTCAGCTCTGGCTGGGAGAACTGCTACCACGAGTCCTCAGTGCGTATCAGGAAGCTGATCGTCATCTCCATGTCACAGGCACAGGTGCACAAACAATGTAACACTTAATATTACCTACTCTTGGGGATAGCGTTAAAAGTAATTCATTGTAAAACTACAAAACATCCTTACTAATAATATTATAAATGGGAAAGTGAGTTTGTTTGTTCCACTTTCACACCGTAACTACTAAACCGATTGCTTTGAATATTTGCAGACGTAAAGTTAGAAGTCTGGATTAAATAATGGGGTACTTTTTATCCCAGAAAAATTTTATATTCTCGAGAGAAAATAAAAGTATTGGTATAGATGGCGCTGTGTGTATTGGTATATGTCACACAGGCTGCTTTTTATCCTTTTGTGACGCGAGCGAAGCCGCGGGTGAAAGCTAGTGTTTAATAAACACAATTTTTAACGTTTATCAAACCAAATCTCAACAACGACGATTTATTGATTACGAGTCGATATTTTGAATTGCAAAAGAGTTATACCTGACTTAAGGTCAGAATTTTAAACAAATGTGCCTGTGTTCTCCACTAATATAATAATATTCGCAATTTTCCAGAAAGCAGTGGCTCTAACTGGGCTGGGTATCATAGCGCTGTCCTACCAGTCCTACGTGTCTGTAAGTTTGGTTTAAAGACAATAATATCCCTTACTTTATGTAATCAGGTGGATAATTAGTACTTTTTTTGCAGATCGTGAAGTCGTCGTATTCAGTATTTTCCGTGCTGTATTAAACAGACAATCCTTTAGGCATCTTTTAGGCACTACCTCTATAGTACAGTAACTTGTTTTTAATCAAATAAATGACTGTGTTTTCACTTATGGAACTATACTTAACCCGGTATTTTGGAAAATGTACGAGACGCTGAAGTTAACTTCGCAGAAGCCGGTTATACAACATTACCAAGAAATTAAACAAATAAATAATAAAGTACACCTGTTAAAATAAAATGTCAAATAGGTATATGAATAAAAGAAAATTCTACAAAGTACATAATTTGCTCTTTATTTGATTAACTTTAACAGACAACAAACACATTTAATATACATTTTTATACAAAATATACATCCAAATAAAGTGGGTTACCTACATAGGTTAACTTTTTTATAAAATTTGTAAATAAATCGAAATAAATGCATACATAGTCTTAGAATTAGGTCCATTTCTTTTACAAAAGTTCAAGACAAAGTTTATGAGAACATATAACTAATATGAATCACACTATAATGCCAACATTGAAACAACTACATTAAATGTATATAAAACAAGGCACATTTTCGCATAACATCATATTTTACGAGTTAACTAAATATCCAGTTGCCTTATCTATGTTTTTAATTGCACTAGATGACTTACTAAAAGAAATGTATATAGAATATAGATATTGATATATTTTAACAAGATTTATAAACCAATCGAACCTACATAATATATAAAGTACTGGGCACTTGTGTTAAAAATATTTTTAATTGCACTTGGACACCAAAATTGGCTTTACAATAATAAAATTGTTGATTATTGTGGTTTGAGCTCATTATACGAAATATCTCTCCACAGAGAGATCGATAAATGAGTATCGTAAACAGGTTCGAGCCCTCAACTAGCTAAAAATGTAAACAAAAACTGTATAGAAAAACTACAGTAAAGTATTATAGCCGTTTTCAGCAAGAACCTCTAAACCATTCACTAAGAGTTACTTAGCTTGTTACATTTGCACTGTTAGGTGTCACTTATCACTTATAGGGTAGTGAAAACTAAAATGTGATAAGGTGTCTCCTATCTTAACTTAGTTACAATTTCAGATATGTTGCTGAAAACGGGCATTACTCGAAGGAACTCTTAAATGGAGCACTTACAAATAAACCAGGTATCTAACACTACATGGCTATGAACTGCGTTACAACTTGCACCATATTACTTATCAGTCAAATATGGCTACTGACATGTGTATGAATAAAAATGCACAAAAAACATCGCTTACAAATACAAATTGTTAGATTACTATTAGTACTTGATTTAGTAGTGAATTTATTCATTCCGTGTCGATACTATTTACGTACTCAAGGTCAAAACGAATGACGTTTTTTAATAAGTATTTTGGATGCAAGATTCTTTCAACTATAGTTATGCTTTACCTGCATAACAATGGCCTATAATAAGGGAAATACGTCCTGTGATTGTATCTGTACGATTATGTTCAATACTTGATCTAATTATAAAAAAAAAATATTTATTAACCTTTTCACCGCCCAGCTATACTAAACACGATGTGTCGCCGTACGCCAACGTATAAATGTATAATAAATGTATAGTACGAAAGTAGGGATGGCGGTAACATCATGTCGATAATGAAAAAAAATATGTGTAAATTTAAATTGGTACTCAAATTTACAATTAAAAATACAAACTGTTAAGTTATAATGGTAATTTGTTTTATTTTATGAACATTTATACTAAGAAAAATGGGTATCCGTTATCAGAGATGAAGATACATGCATAGAGTTGCTAGAGATAATAATAATAATTCGTAACATTAGCCACTTCACTATTCATTTCATAACGTAGTCTGTTTACTTCATATCAAGTCATTGGCGTTCAAAGCACGATACATTTCGTAAGGAATAGTTGTCTATGCTTTTCTTTCTTTCTATCGAGTTTGGTTTGCTTTTGGTTTTAGTTTACATTTAAAATCTAACGTCAGGTCACGATCAGGAACATTGTTTGTAGTGATTAAAAGTGGCAACATATGTGTAGTTTTGGAAATGGATGGTAAGTAACTATTTTAATACAGATGTACTAAACTTTAATAGCTTATTTTTCATTTAATGCAAATGAAAAACTGGCACGTTTGATGGATATTAGGTAGTCATAAAATACCTATTCGTTGCGGCTCTCGGTTTCGCAAACTTTTAGCTGTGTCGGCGAACAAATATAGAATATACTCATCCGAATCATATTCGGTCATTTTGCACTGCACTGGGAAAGAAAAATGTGCGTGCACGCGTCGCCCGGAACTATGACACAATGACCTTGACGCCTAAGCGCTTACGACGTCACAGGTTTACTTCTATTGAAGTTGACGGCGCTAGTGTCACTCGACATCTTGCCATTACGTAGAGATGGGTCTAGCAATATCGAAAACCCTCAGTACATAATAATTAATTTTAATGAAATGATTTGATAGGTAGATGTACATTAATTTTGAAACGCATTGTAATACGTTATTTACTGACCGGAATTTCTTTTTATTCATAGAATTCAAAAAACTATTGGATGGAAAAGAAAACAAATATTATAGTAAATAAAGATTCTAATGAATGCTCCTTACGCGTCACATCACTGGCCTACTTGATATGAAGTCGTTGGCGTGCGGGATATAAAATTATTTGAAACCTTTTATGTTTTACCTTTTTAAAACAGAAAATAGTCTGTTTTGCATGAGAAAAAATAGTTCGTCGTGTCCATATTACAAAATTACAAAGAAACAAATGTTTTATGTATCGTAAATGTATTTTTTATAGTAGGTAGATACAATGAACTTCTATAGAAGTAGTGGCGTGGACGGCACGAAAATCCTGAACTTCTATAGAAGTTGTTGGCGGCGAAAAGGTTAAAAAATGATCAACTGATCACATATCAGTAGCCACTAAAAATATTATAAATTCGCTTACACCATGAAGCAATCGCGGCAACACTTATTTCGAATCTGTACCTTACTGCTTACGTAAAAAGGATGATCTTACAGCTTGGAGTCGAAAAACTGCAGCTCTCTGTCGTGAGGCAGCTTCTTGAAGTAGCTCTCGACGTAGTCGTCGGTCACTTCAGCAAGGGTCTTGGGCTTCCATTGAGGGTTGTTGTCCTTGTCTATGAGGAGGGCGCGGACTCCTGCAATCAGAGACGATGATGAGAAATATGGATAGGTACCTATTTATTAAGCTTAGATTATTTAGTAAACTGAGAATGTTGAATGAGTTCAAGTTCTGACAACGAAGCATAATATGTATTTAGAGGAGTTTAAGAATCGTCTAACAAAACATGAATCTCCATGCATGTTAGATCACCAAAGTACTAACATTATCATTTATTTATTTGTAAGTACTGGTAAATTAGTGTTTTTTATTTCGAAATTGTACAACTTACAGAGTTCAGAACAGTATCTGTTGCGCGTAAATAGACCAACTTTATGTACACCGCAATTAGAGTAGTGAATACATGACATGTAGTAGTACAAACAAGTAATTAAGACTCGGTTCTTAGCAACAGAAACCATTGATTTTAAGGAGTCTTACCTTCGGGAAAGTCGTGGTTCTCAGTGGCGCGGCATGCGACGCGGTACTCCATCTTGAGACACTGGCCGAGCTCCAGCTGAGCGCCGCGCTGTAGTGCACGCAGCGTGATCTTTAGAGAACCAGGGCACATCTGGCTGAGGGTCTGAAACATCAAATAATATTAGGTATAGAAATAAATTAACTTATATTGATAGGTATTTTATTAAGATTTATTTTAAGAAATAGTTGCTTGATTAGGTGTTTTTCGCTCGAGGAATGGATGCGTTTTTAATAAATTAGACTCAAAATAATAATACACACGGGCGGCCACTGAACCCTAACGCACATGCCTTCGAGAATCAATCCGCGACAAATGAATAATCAAAATTGCTTTGTTTGCTGTCATCATTATGAAAACTAAGATTTGAAACTTATCAAGTCATACTATCAGACATATTTAATTTAAATACAATGTAATAAAGTAATAATTATAATGTTAGTTTTTATCTGACGAATTATATCTTTAAACTGTCATACATACTTTGAATGATAACAATAAATTGAAATAAACATTGTAACCAGGCAAATCGGAATTACATGCTCAGTTGTAGAAAGCACATCCTTACTAATATTATAAATCGGAAAGCGAGTTTGTTTGTTCCGCTTTCACGCCATAACTACTAAACCGATTGCTTTGAATTTTTGCAGATGTATAGTTAGAAGTCCGGATTAAATAATAGGGTACTTTAAACTTTTTATCCCGGAAAAATTTGATATTCCCGAGGGAAAACAAAAGTATTGGTATAGATGGCGCTGTGTATATTGGTAAATGCCACTTTGGCTTTTTATCCTTTTGTGACGCAAGCGAAGCCGCGGGTAAAAGCTAGTACGCAATAAAATAAACACACAAAAAACAGTGCTTGAACTGAAATATAGAATCAATTTAAATTTTCATTAATACTAAAGTTTACTTTGTAGTCTCTTACAACTGCAATGACAAGTAGCCCCTTTTACAATACCTTTAAGGTTTATATTACATTAAACTCACCTTCAAAGTCTTCTCAGACCAATCATTCTGGACTTTCTGGAGCCTTTCAATGATCTCTTCAATAGTTGAAGCAGCAAAGCAGTAGTTGATATGTTTGATATTATCAGATAATGAGAACTGTTCCGATGGCTCATGGAATTTGTTCAGCAGGTTGTCAACTTCCACTTCATCGGTACACCGAGAGAGTAACACTTCTAGTTCATACAGTCTCTTACTTGGGACGTAGTGTGTGGCTATACCTGATTTAACTACATCCCAACCCTTTAGTCTATCACCTGTAAGATGAAGATTTTATTTGAAAAGTTGTAATTAAATGTTTAGACATAATACACTAATATAACGTAAACAACATACGTAACAACATAGTACATAGATTAAGTAAAATCGCGGGTTACTCACGTGATTATACTGAGAAAAGGTCTACTAGTTTCGAACCACAGAGATGTGAGCTGCGCGACGTCGCCGTGACCGCGCACGCTTCTCATGAGGAAGAACCCCTCTGTGGTTCGAAACTAGTAGAGCTTTTCTCAGTATATTCACGTGAGTAACCCACGATTTTACTTAATTTAGTATGTCTCACGATAGTTATTATAAAAACATAGTACATAGATAAAATAAATAACGGAAATTATAACAGCACAACACAAGTGTATTTTTAACTTGCATGCTGATGCAAATAATTGCTCCAATTAAAACTAATTTGTCGTATATTACTGCTATAGTTATGTCTAGTTACAATGAAGTTAATTACAGTGTATAGTGACAACGGCTAGTCTTTCTGTGTATTCTATAATATTTATAAAAAATGATATCTCTTACCAGTAAGTCCCAAATATAAACCCAAGTTGACCTGCAGCCTGGGCAGGAAGTACGACCCTCCGACATCAGGGAACAATCCAATCTTGGTCTCAGGCATAGCAATAACTGTCTTCTCAGTAGCTATCCTGTACCTTCCATGGACAGACAGACCAAGACCACCTCCCATAGTGATACCATTAATGATAGCTATGTATGGGATCTTGTATTTACCAATGAGGTAGTTGCAATTGTACTCTGTGTAGAAGAACCTTGGACCTTCTACTTTGTCAATGGCTGCTTTGACATCTCCACCAGCGCAGAATGCTTTATCACCAGCCCCTTTTACAATCACCAGTGTCTTCTTACTTTCCCATTCTTGCAGCTGTGGTAGTAACTTTGTTACCATGGATGTGTTGAGGGAATTCAAAGCTTTTGGCCTGTTCAAAGTGATGATTCCTGCATTGTTTAGGGTTTCAAACAGCACATCTTGTTCCTGACTAGACATTGTGCGCTTTATGTAGTGTGACGCTGAGCGGGTGAGGTTGACACTGAGCTTGAACATCTGTGGATAAGGTATACATTACAAATACCTAAAATATCGGATTTAATAAAACTTTTTATTATTTCTTTTCACAAAATGGCAGTTTACCAGTGAATTCCATCACCACATGAACCAATATTTATATTACTTTATGTATAAATAAAATAATGTAAATGTATCCTTTATTTTTGGAAGGAAAATTTGTTTGTCTATTTCAAAATGAGAAACAAAGTCCAATGAACAGTGCTACAAGTGATACACCAATACCAAACAAGAATTTCCAATAGCAATCTTACAAGTTTGTACAACAAGAAGGGTTATTTCAATTAGAACCGAATTTATTGTATGAAACAATTATCACGGTTTGATGCTATGATAAATGTAATTTAACCTTCCACCACAACTCGGGACTTTAGAATATCAAAATTCAACAGTTTGACGAACATTGAATGAACATTATTGTAACTATTATAATTTACCTTTAATTATACAAATATATACGGCACATGGAACATAATCACGTCACAGATAACATAAATTGCATAATTACTTACTTTGAACCTACGAAAACAGCGTTATCTATAAGTTTAACTTGCCAAAATCACGTCTCTTATCTAGTGATAATAACTCATTTATTAGTTCACCATTACTCGGGTGAAGTAGTTATAGAGTGATCAATATGCTGCTTTGTATGAAATGATAATGAACAATGAAGATAGAATATTTAAGTAAATAAATCTACCCAAAAACCGGTCGTAGTTGATCGTCCGGTATGACGACAAAAAATATGTATTAATGTCAGCTTGATGCTGTCAATGTCATCGATGATTAATAACGTCTAAATACTTTCTGTTACACGAAAGTGTTAAGTAATTTATCCGTATTAAAATCAGATTATCGAGACATTTGATAGTGTTGAGTACCCTCTTAGTATGATAATATTTAGATTTTTTTCACTAAAGTATTTTTCTTGCATATCGTATCGTATTCCTAGTTGTTCTTTTTTATGTGACCTTGCATAAATAAAATGAACGCATCGAATATGGGAAAACGATTAGCACTTTTGACAGTGACAGAACTGCACCCAGCTGATTAGATTGGGATTTGAATTATAACCTATAAAATCAATTTCCAAACTTACCAAAAATATACATAAATACGGCAGGAAGACTGAATCAGATGGGTGTAACAAGAAAAGTTCTTAACTGGTACGCTAGATTAGCTCCAGCACATGGCAAAACAATTCCTCCTTACGAACATGTAGTGCAAATCGGCGACCCAACATTACGTAAAATTTCAGAGCCTGTTCCTATTGATAAAATAAAAACAACCGAAATACAAATTATAATAAAGAAATTAGAGTATGTAATTAGTAAGTACGGCAGTCTTGGTATGTCGGCGCCTCAAATTGGGGTAAATCTAAGAATATTTGCTATGCGACATACTGTGAAGCAAATTGCTAGCGTTCCGGGAGAACTAGCTAGGCTTAGGGGTATGGAGGAGGTACCATTCACTGTAAGTAAGTAATCTTTAAACTTAGTACAAGTTTCTCCCTTTATAAATGCAGCTCCATATACTAAAATAGTGATTAAAACATGTTGGAGTATCAACCTTTATATTAGACATCTGGTATACCTATAGACCATTAGGATTTTATATCCACAACAATGTTCCAGGTTTACATCAACCCTAAACTGAAGGTGGTTGACTATAAAAAGATTATACACAGTGAAGGATGTGAAAGTGTACAAGGTTATTTAGCTGATGTGCCTCGATACAAGGCAGTACAAGTTACAGGTAAAGTAATACAACAATAAGTATAATGATACTAGCCCATATATCCCCAAGCAGTCACCGGTGACCGCTTTCCACGAACTACACTATAGACCTTATTTCCAATGTTTAGAGACTACTTTTATATGAACAAATTTAGGGGATGATTTTTAACAGGCTAGATTGTACCAGCAACTTTACCTGAACTTCTGTGGGATAACAAGTATAACAAGATAGTCTATGCATTATTCTAGTCTTGATCAGAATTCAGCAGTCTCTTTTATTCCCATCCCTTTAGCTGTTTTGATGTGATTGAGTGATGTTTGTAACATACACATTGTGTGTATGTTTGCATTTATAATATTAGGCCGATGCATACTTTATTACTAGTAGTTACATGAAAATTTTTAACAAATGGAGGATTACAGATTTGGATATTGATAAGTAATCAAATTATATGTTTAACTGCAGGTTTGAATGCAGAAGGAATAGAAAAGTCACAAGTGTACAAAGACTGGTCAGCGCGAATAGCCCAGCATGAGATGGATCACCTGGATGGCAAAATATACACAGACATCATGGACAGGAAGACCCTCACATGTTCCTGTTGGGAAGAAGTCAACTTGTCTAAAGGAAAACTTGTTATACCATTTAGTCCAAAGTAAAATAATATTTATTGAACTGACTGAATGTTTTATTATTTTTGTTTGCAATTTCATTTGTATAACCTTTAACAAAGTTTTTAAGAAGAACCTGCTCTAGTAATGAGCAAATTAGTATATTATCAAAGATTTTTAAAATAAATTTCACAAAGGTGATAAATAAGTAAGTCAATTATAATTTTCAATAAGCAATATTTTATTTGATTTAACTTTTACAATAAAGCAATATCTGTTTAGTTTGAGTAATACTATGAATAGGTACCTGTACTTAATAAATATTAGCGATATGAATATAATTATGTAGACAACTAAGTTTTGCATAACACAAAACAACTAACTTAGCATTTAACTGTTACATTAACATTGTCTTTAGCATAAAACTGGGGATTTATTCCTACAAATTTAGAGTTACTATGTCACAAAATAAAACGGTTCTTGTCTGTTTTAGTAGATAATAATTATTATTAGAATAGTAAGTACATCACATTTTTGTTCAGTAACTTACTTGACTAAAATGCAATTTAAAATAATCACTAATTTCATGTTTATTTTGTGTCATTGTAACAATAGGTACTAATAAATAAGTATATTATCAGCTGCTTATCATCTCTAATATACATATCATTCAACATTAAAATTATATTTAAGTGTCCTTTCTATCTATAAAGAGAGAGATGTAGTTGAGATAATTATAGTTATGTTTAGTTACAACATTCAATATTTTAATGTTTTTAATATTTTCGCTCTTCTAACAAAGCAACTTGCGTTGTGCAATGACTTTGCTTACTATTTTCAAAACAGCGATATTTGCGTGTTACTGCCAGTTAGCACGTTATTGAAAAAATATTCTTTGTCTCCATATATTTATCTTACATTAATAATTTAAGCAAAGTTCTAAGTATCAACAATGTCTAACATTTATATAACATTGCAATAAGTGCATAATATATTAGACATAAAATATATTTGTATATTGCAACTAAACATTTATCTTGCATATGCATCTCCTGCAACTTGACATCTCAGTTCTGAACAAACTTTGAATATGTTAATGTAATATTGATTCTATCCATCCTGTTAAATCATAGTTTAACTCCTTACACAGTTATTGTATAAGCCATACAAAATTCAACCATATTCCTACACCATTAAGACACATACAAGTTTCCAGTTACTACCAATTTGAAGACAATATTCTTAGACTGGTAGTAATGGATTCATCACTCTTCTTTGCGTAGTTTATGTAGACATATCTATAATATATTATATTATACACATACGCACCTCACTTCTTTTCAACAGTCTTTCTCTTCAACATCACACTAGCATATCCAAAGTATAGACTCACAAGGGCAACTGTGGCCTTCGTTGGTTGGTCAGCAGTTACCTCAGTGGGTTGCTGGCCATGCTGGTGAGGCTGGTCAGCGACGACGGGCCACTGGCTGCCAGACTCAGTCGGTCTGTCTCCTCGTCGGCTTGGTTATTACGTAACTCTTGTAGGGTGTATACGAACTTCGTCCATTCATCGTGACGAGGTTGGGCGACGTGCTATGGGAGTTTGAAATAGAATAAGTTTCAGATTTGAAATCGCATATCGATTTGGAAAAGGGAGGAAGAGCTATGCTTCGACACGAATGGGCCTGATCAACCGGAGTAATACCACGGCCTCACAGAAAACCGGTGTCAAATAAGGTTCATTTTCCTTACAAAGTATAAACAGACTATGATAAAACTTTATGTTTACCTCAGCGACTTCATAGACCCATATCTTGCCGGCGTCGTCTCCCGCGGTGATGTGAGTACCTGACGGAGTCCATGACACGCGGTTGAATGCTACTCCGCCTTCGGCCTGGATCGATGCTACTGGCACCTAAAGAAATATTTTAGTCAGTTCTCGAGTCACAAAACACAAAAGGCAAAACAATTTTATACTTGCGGTAATGGTATTTTCGGCGCTAAAATAACGTTTTTCGAGGCTAAAAGGAGTAATCATAGAGTATGAGATATACCTCTGTATCCCTATTTAGGTTCCAGAGGTCGATGCGTCCGGAAGCATCAGCTGCCGCGAATAGCGCGGGGTGAGTGGGCGACCAGCGCACGTCCACCACGTAGTCACCGCTGTCCTCGAACGAGTACAGCGCCTTGTTCTCCTGTGTAACGTAAAGATGAACAGATTAGACATTATCTAGACAAAAGAGCTAATGTATAGGTCGTTCAAAAAGAAATAATGACTTATAGTAAAGAAAGATTAAATAAAATGTTGTAATAACATCTATTTTTTGTATAAAGAACGATGATTATCACGATTGCGTAATCGGCTGATGATATAGGCTCCGCTGTAGCTTGAAACTAATCCAGGACTCTCGAAATAAATGTAAAAATATTATTTAAAGTTGAATTTAAGTACCTTCTGGGTCCATAGTTTGACGCTCCAGTCCATAGAGCACGTGAGGTATAGATGTGAGAGGTCGACGGAGCCGGCCGCGGCGTGACACGACACGCCCGTGATGGGGCCGGCGTGACCCTCTACCATCTCTGTCACTCCCGCACGCTGACCGTATAGGCATCCTGCTCACATAACATGGATTAATTTCGGAATCTTTTAAAATCTATATAAAAGCAGAATTTCTGTACCCTTTACTAGGGTTTCGTTATAACAAGTGTTTGGCTAACAATGAACGTGAAAGATTAATAAGATTTTCAATAGGATTATTTCAACATTAACAACCTCGCAGGATCATATGACTAACATCATACGCAGTAATTTAGTGTTAAAAAATAGTCTATGATTTACTGACCAGTATAAATGTTTCCATCCTCGCTACCCAGCACAAAGTTGTTCACATCACCATGTGGGAATCCCATGGAAGTGACAGCGACGGCCTTGCTCTGTCGGTGTTGCAGGTCGAGCGTCTCCTGGGGCTGGGACAACATGTCCAGGGACCACGAGCACATGCGGCCGTCCGTCGACACTGAGATCAGGTTGTGGGCGTTCTGACTGCCTACTACTGATAGACAGTATACTGGGTGCTGGAAGATAAAATTCACGTTGTTATTTTAATATTAAAGTTAAGAGGAGCTTTGTAATGTCTTGAATCTTTCCATTTATTAATTCGTGGGTGTAGATTTCTATTGTGAAGAATGCCCAGAGTCTGTCACTATACAGAGCCATATTTTACTGAAGCGGGTGTATTTCAGTATTTATAAAATTAAGTGTACATACAGTGTGTGCGAGTGAAGACAGCGGCGTGCGTTGTATGGGTGTACGCTTCTGTACGCGGTTGTCCCACAGAACTATCTGGCCAGAGTACGTGCCGCCCAGGATCAAGTTCGGGTGGAACCTGGAATTATAAATTAATGGAGTGTTAATTAACAAAACACACAAGAGATTGAACATGGTGCTAAGAAATAAAATATGTTTTGGTCTATTCAAAGGATAGAATGTCTTTAATAGTATGAATTTAATGACATAAAAATCCAATCTTTTGAATGCTGCGTCCCATAAAAAAAGTGTGAAGCTCATATTTACCTAGCAAATGTAGCGCTCATGACTGGCGACTGGCAGTGGAAGATATCTTCAGGGGTAGACTTCTTGAACTTGGTGTTCCAGACGAGGCAGACCCCGTCAGGGTCGTGCGGCGCGTCGTCGGAGTTGTGGTAGGAGGCCAGCAGGAGCTCGGGGTGCGCGGCCGACCAGTCGGCGCACGTCACGCAGCGCCCGCGCGACCAGCGCTCGTCCCAGAACGTGCGGACCAGGGACAGCCGCGCCACCGACTTGTCGTCGCTGGGGTACGAGATATACTTTGTTATGTCATCTGCATAATGATCAAAGTATAAAAAGCCAAAACATAATATGGTAATCGGTTTTCAATCTTATATGAATAAATGTAAGATTGGAAATTGAATAACGATAAAAACTTTAGAGTAGTTTAAACGAAATTCATGTTAGTAGGTTTTGTTTTCACCAAAATTCAAGTCAATGTTCAGAATAATCAGATTTGGAGGGTTTTAGAATAGCAGTGTTTACTGCGCTAAGCCAATTAAAGCTCATTACTTGCTATAGTCTCTCTCAGTTCACAGAGTTATAAACAGTAATAAATATAGTATTAATAAAGAACACTCATTAAGCATAGGAGGACAGAGGACACTTTGAGTTATAGCCAATCAAAATGTATTATGTTTGTATGGTTTGTATTTGCAAAACTACGTTACCGATACTACGTTAGCATACCCATCGTCATACCTATAAAAATAATTACAATTTAGGTAGCTATCATGGAAAAATGCTTTCGCCACCCTGGTAATTTGTTCATACTGCTAGTGTATATAATACATTACATATTTATGAATAAAGATATGATAGAAATTAAAGAAGTAATATAGTAATATGTGCCCTATGCTATGAATTTGAATGTGAAAGCTTGTGTCGGTCTCAAGAATCTTCTTTTATGACAATTGATTTTCGACCTTATAGCGTCTACTTACAGAGCATTCTCGCTATCACCGCCGCCGGTGTAGTCTGTGTAGATGTCGACGGACTCCGCCAGGGCGCGCTCGATGACTCGGCCGGCCTTCGACATGAACCGCTGGAACTCCGCCGACAGCATGATCGTCTGCTTCTCATCTGCGCTCAGCTCCCGAACTAGAAAAATAGCTTTTATAAGTATTTTAAACCTAAAACTGTTTGCCCTGCCATGACATGGCTATAAATATCATACTCGTTTCTTTGATTTCCAAAGTAGTCAACAGCAGATTTCAACGACCAAAATAACTCCTACAGCAACAATAAAAGTAAGAATATAGAGGACAAACCTTTCTTCTCTTTCTCCTCATCCTTCTTCTCCTGTGGCTCGACAGTGACGGCGGGCTGGACTTCCTTGACGGTGGGCAGGCCGTGCGGCAGTATGCCGGGCGGGAGCTTGCCATGGAACGCCGCTTCCTCCTCATCGCCTTGCCGAGCGCCGTCGCCGTCGAATGTAAGCACTGGACGGTGAATAAGAATGGCCCTTGCCGCGGGTGTGTGTACGTGCCGGTACCACTGACTTATTTTGTGTCTTATAACTTAATGTCGAAGAACTTGAATCATACTTTCACAGGCTTTATTATCAATTACCCTGATGAGGGTATTGTTTTATAAATCAGTAGTACGTTTGTATTATTAGGTATTGATTTCATGAAGTTATTTCAGCATGTGTTCTATAATATTATTATTTGCCAATCACTTAAGAGACAGTTTTGTTTGAAACAATTACAGTTTTATTTTATTATAACTCCATGAAACAAGTAGGTAATGAGTAATGAAGAAAGATAACTACTGCTCTACTGGTGTAACTATCCCTAACTACTGAGTGTGGATGAATGTCTTACTTCATTCAATACCAAAAATGAAGGCAGCCATTTTGGAATTTTGTACACGGAACATCATAGAACCCTTCCAAAGTTCGTATTGCTTACGTCGCTTGTGAGTAGCATTCATTAATCGAATTGTATTAATTAACGCAGTCAGTAAGGTTAAGAAAAATTGAAATTAAATTAAAAGCTGCTTTCATTTGTGGCACTGTAAGAACATGAATACGATTGCAAAGTATGAATAGAAATCTCATTCTTTTTCTTATTGAACAGAATAAAGATGTATATTTGAGAACAATTATTAATTTATTTTATTTTCTATTCATACTTAAAGCACTTATTATTACTTAGACGAACAATCTTGTAAGTCAATGATATATTTTAATCTGTTTATGAATATTAGCTAGTGAAGCATCATAACTACATGTTAAAATGATCATTAGACCAGTTTGTTCAAACTTTTTGTATGCTCACAAACTAGCCATTCGATTTTGAACCTTAAAGCAATGGTATGAGACTACAGTTACAGCAACATTCTATGATATTAGTGTTTAAAATAGAAAAGAATTAATTTTAAGACAAGCTATGAAAATTGGGCGATTTATAGGAATGATCTGAATCTGGACGTCACATGGATAAGAGTAAAAAGTCTATTAAATTTGCCAAAATATTCCAAACATATCTATGGTGCATACTGCTAAACAAAATAATGGTGCTCATTTTCAAAAACTAGATAATACTAAGTTCAGTTGTCCTATAAATTCCTTTATTCCTCAGCACCATTTTATCTTGTACATGTTCGAAATTTAGTTTAAAGATATGTCTACATTATACCTATGACATGCACACACACAAGGGGCACGTGTCTCATACCACGTTTGAAAAATACCTTCTATTTGCAGCGTAGAACAGAAAAAAGCATCACTGTAACTATATTCTCCAAATGGCTTTCAGTTTCTTCAAAATAGAGTAATTTCAAAATATTTTCAGTCATTTCGCCTAAGAGTCTCGTGAAATAGTGTATGTGGGAATCGAACCCGTCACATCAAATCTAATAAAAAGTAAACAGCATTAACACTTAATTATCACCACTAAAGCAATGCAGGATAAAATAAAACTATCAATAGAAATGTAAGCAAACATTCCGTAATAATAACGAAGTCATTTTGAAAAGAAACTGAAAGTGTACGCTACACAATGAAACACACCATACCTACTACATAATGATAGTATACCAAAATGTTTCAATGAACGACATAGTCTACTTATTTCCTCTAAAACTGTGCAACTAAAACACACAAATCTCTAAAAGCGTTAACATTTGGTGACAGAAAGCTTTGGAATATTAAATAAAATGCAAAATAACTTCCCGAGCTCTCCACAAGAGAGGTACATGTTCCATCATAATAAAAATATAAATAAAATAATACTATTGTCTATTGCAAAACATATGGATGACGTCATCAGTCATGCATACTTATACACAACATGTATTTCTGTCACATGCATCATGGATTCAATGTATATTTATATAATGAAGAATTTTGAATGTATGTCATGTAATACAGGGATACTGTGGGTTATATACAGCTGACTGTCAGCAAGTACGGTTGTATAGTATTTTTGCTGTGATCTTGTATATTACGTATTGCAAGTACATATGTAAGAAAAAGCTGCTCACAAGTTACCGACTGACTGTCAACTAGATTAGATATGAATGATCCTGTATTAAATCACACATACAGACACATATAAAATATAATGCTAAGTTATGTTTTGTTAGCTTTATCATAAATAGCGTTACATAATAGATTGACAACAAACCATGCTAGGTGATAGGCACAGGCTCTACGAAGGGCAATATTTAGTTAAATGATTGTTTGTATGATTCGGAATTGAAACCTACCTGTGAATTCGTCCTCCCACTCTAAACCCGGGTTTAGATTGTACTCATCTTGAAAAGGGAGGAAAAAACAAAAAAACAATGTCAGTATCTTTCGACCATAATATATATAAAAAATTCAAACTATACATAGAAATAGCTGGTGCTTATATATTTTACAGCATGACCGTATCGTGGTGCGTCGCCACACTGCCGAGCGAGCGAGCACTGGGCGGTCCGTGCGGCGGCGCACCGCGTGTCCGTGTGTTAGGACCTGTGCAGTGTATGTTAGTCGACTCGAAGGGGAAAACAGCGTGAGATGATACGGCGACCCCATAATACCACCATAATTCATATACACATATTATATTTTGTATAAACTTATGTTGCGGCCCTTAATATAGATCTCCTGTGAAGAGATCTAGTGGAGAACTCTGGAAGGCCACAATTCCGTGTAAACTCTTAAACGTGCATCAAATGATGATGTTTTAGTTGAGTAGTGTCACTCAGACCCCCCCCGCTAACTCTAGACGTTACAGATTTCTTGATAAAATGAAATGGATTCAATGGTCTAGATGTGCTTCTGTATCGTTCTATATTTATCAAGTAATCTGAGTACCGCACCTATTTGTTAGTAGGAAATAACTAGAAGCGTGATAGTAAGGTAACCTAGACTAAATATATACAACTCTAGACCGAGATGAGGACTAATATACAACCGACACCGTGTTAACCGACATGATCAGAGAGAAGTAGTGTTAGGGGTAGACAGAAAGCGTCCTGGCGGAATAATGACTTACCGTAGTAGTCGGTTGCGTGTGCTAGAAAAGGACAAAAAATAAAAATATTCTGTCAGTTACAAGTTCAGTGAATAATATATATCTATACAATATTGGCTATAGATTTATGAACATTGAATATTTTTGTTTTGTAATTATATTATTCATATTTACATAAAATGTAAATGATTGGACAAATGATATGGATGGTATTCACAATGAATTGATATTAGTCCATTATGTTTGTAATGGGCACATGCAAGTCTTATATGGCCGTGGGCTGGATGAATAATGACTGGACGGTGCGCAATGTGTATCTAGTTAGGAAATGTTATAACATCCAATATGTTTGATTTGATCGAGCCCACGGCCATTGCACTCTGATCGTGTGGACCAGCGACACTAGCGTCAGTAACATCATCGGTCAGTGTTTAGTAATGTGCACACACTGTGACGTTAGCTCGACGGGACCAAACAACACTACATGCTCGCACAAACTTACACAAAACCCTTTTAATGGGTATTGATATTTCATTATAAACTCTATGTTTAGTCCATAAGAGCTTTACTCGTTTGGCTACGCTTTCAAAATGTCAATAAGTTTATATTAGTTACAATTCAAAATGGAACAAAACTTATAATTAAGTTTAATGCCATTCAATCCATTTCAAATTTATACTTTTTTTCACTGTCAAGTGTCAGTAGATTCTAGGGCACCACACTGTTTTCCCTTAACAAAATATTTAAAATTAAATGCGTTTAAATGAATGTTTTGTTCCATTTCATGTAAACGAATATTTGTGCATGCATTATGTTTAAGTCACAAGATTACTGTCCACGAATATGACATTAAAAAACAAGTGAGCTACATCTACTTCATGTGAGCTACAATTTTGATAAAACTGATACTTAGTGCCATTCACTTATGATTGAATTTACCATGCACATGATTCGCTTTCAATTTCGATCGCCAATTACTTGATGTTTGCTATGAACAAAAACTACACAAGACAATTACAGTACATATTCGTGGACAAACAAATATATACTATGAGTAACGTTAATAAGGTATAAGTTACCTTTGCGCGGCCGCCACCAGTCCTCCATGTATCCTGCAAGCGGTGATGCATTGGAAGAGCAGCCTTTTTTTATGGTAGCACAAACACAAACATGGCACCACAATTCTCATACAGTATTTACTTTTATATCATTATTAATTAATATAGAATCGGTTACACTAATGGTAGACGACACATTAAGCTGAGAAATAAACAAAAATTTCGCAAACTAATGCTGCCTCAATTTATTTGATCGAGAACTAAATATGACCTACAATGTTTGGTAAAAGCAAGACAACCCAAATGATTTTTTTTTAATGATGGAATTAGCAAGGCATGTTTCATATATTATGAATTAAAATAATTGTCTGTTATAGTATAGACAAAGCCTTTATTACTGGGAGTAATATAATTCTCATGATTCAGGCTAATTTGAAGTAATCTATACTAGCACATCAAATTCATAGAAAACGTTAATTTTTAAATTAACTATTAAGATACTAAGATTATCGACTTTATCGTTCAATGATAATGTAGAAAATCGATTAAACAAAGAATTGTAGTTGTTTGATATTGTCTACTTCTCAATGACAACCTACACAGTCACAACATAAATATTAATGGAAAGAGCTCCCAAAAAGTATTAAACTAAAACAAATAAAATAAATTCAGACAGCATACCAAAGGCCAAATTAAAAAGAGAGATGAGTGAAAAGTAAATACTGTTGTAAACACTACAAAGATGTCATTGGTTACAGGGGCTCTTGGCATTTGCAAATACATTACAAACGTTTTTCTAAAATCTTTCTGTCTTAGTTGCACAGTTGTTTTATTTATGTGCAAGACAGAGATAGATATACAACTATGAGTTATGTATCAAATCAAGTTTTCTAGTGACCATGGAGGTTTAAATACAAATGATAGATCTATAAAATACTAAATTAGAAATAAAAAAATACTCTGTGTTCTAAGTTTCTAATAGTTAAAAGATATCTATTACTTGCAAATGTCAAAATTAAGTTAAACCAACACCCAGACATCACAGTTAAATACCTTAATGTATTATTTCTTTATATGTATGCAAACTTTCAAATTGTTATAGGGAATACATAGATATTAATGTCAGTACACACAGAAATGATCCATAACCCAGTATTTTATCTTGAAAATTAATATAAGGGAATTTCTTCAAAGAAACTGACTTGTAAATATTTAAAAAGAGTTGTAGCACATTATATCAAACTGCAATCATTAATCTGAATAGAGGGTTACTTTATATTCATAAAAATATAATAAGTTCCATATGAATAAAAGAGAAATGAACTCTTTTAAGTAGTTTCGTAAATAAACATACACATACTTGTATTAAATCTTATTTCAGTGCTAACAAAACGAAAGGGAAATCAATGGAAGTCAACTCAAAAAGTATAAAAACAAAAGTACTAGCAATAATGTTAGCTACAAAGTTGGCACAAAGCTTACCATCGCGCAGTTCGCTGACACCTGATGCAGTGGTCTGCGTCTGCTTGGCATATGTCACATTCTCCTTTGGTGGAATGTCTGTGGACTGGACCGACACCACTTGCAAGGTAGGAGCTTTCTTCGGCCCACTATTTATTAAAGTCAATTATTTATAAATGGTTGGTACATTCCCTATTAAAATGCATTAATGGAAATTCACTAACTCACGCTTTAGCTTTAGAAATCAATTTCACTTAGTTGGAAGATCAACAGAAAGTGTGACTGGACAATCTAAATAGTTTCGTCGTCTTCTTATAAGAATGCTGTTAAATGTTCAAGTATTGGGAATTAATCCTCTTACCCATGAGCAGGCAAACTGGACTTATCAGTATGTGGCAGACTAGCATCTGGTGATGCAGTCTGTGGCGGTGTCAGTGATGTCATGGAAGACAAGGATGAGAGCACATCCTTTACAGGAGCTACTCCAAGGGAAGACAGCATCTCATCCAGATCGCGCCGACTGTCCAGGCTGGAGGTGGTGGAGGCACGCTGCTGGGATATAAATACTAAATAATGAAGAATGAAGTCTTTTAATAATCAGCGAAGAAATTTTTCTCTGATTTTGTAAATAGATGATAGAAAGTAGCACACTTTTTATTTATCTTTAATGTAAACTAATTTTATTATGCCATTGACAGTACTCAGAATCTAAATGTAACAGATTATTTTACTATTGACAGTTATTGGGATGAATTATTTGACATACATATGTATACCCTTATAGTTTCAAAGGTAATAAAGATTGATAATATGATTATGCATTAAAATACCAAAGCTTCTTCAGCATCTTTCTGTTCCTTCTCCCTGCGGCGGCGATCCTTTTCCTCACGGAGAGCCTGGAGCTTAGCCTTTTTGCGCTCCAGCTCCGCCTTGCGATCTGACATGCTCGACATTGTGGTTTCTGGAACAATAAACAAGTGAGGATTACATACATCTCCTCATGCAATGTTAGTCTAAACATCACAGCTCAATTAAAGTAAAAGTCCTAATTGCTGTAGTCTAAAATAGCAGTATATTTGCTTGAGCTAATATTCACATCATTTTCATCATTCAATCAACTTTATCAAAAAAAAAATGAGTAGAAAGCAATTCATACCTATATTGAATTATCTTATACCTTAACTATTCATTTAGGTAGTAGCACCTTTGGATTTTAAATTTATTTATCCTTATCAGTAAGACTATTTTCAAGCTAACGTTATCGACATATAAATAAGCTTTTTTTTTTCAATAGACGAAAGCCTATCCCAATGTCCAATAAGAACATGTCTGATGTCATTGATGCAGATGATTCATTGTTTTAATATTCATGTACAAGTTAAGCAGCATAGTTGAATATTTACCTGATATAAACTGGGGTTATTAAACAAAAAGAAACATTTTCACACTAAAACTAAAAAACTATTTCCACAAAACGTGGCAGAAACAAAATATGTGTAACGGGATTTCACCAACTAATATAGCAAAAGGAAATTTACTTCCGACTTATAGCCATGTAATTATTATCAAACTAAATTAATTAAGTAGTGTTAGTACAATTTCTTTACAAAAAATGCGTAAAAATATCGCCAGAATACCGAAAACCTATCGATCAACACAAGCAAGATTCCCTATTTTCGGCAGAAAATGATTAGTGTTACCACAATTATAAAGTTATTTTACTCACTTATTACTCATTGAAACATTACAACAAAGTTACTTAAAAACTGTATCAAAACTATGTCGTTACAAATTTTACCATTTATTCTATAAAAAGTGTGTACAATCAAATAGTTCAACAGCCACATAAAGAGTACTTATATGCTCCAAAGCTCACCTGTCGAGCAGAGTTGGGCAAATTGTAATCAGATTAATGATTAAGGATTACGATTACATTTTGTAATCATCAATCAAGATTACAGATTACGGAAATTAATCAAGAAAGTAATCATATCGGTGATTAATGATTATTAGTTTGTAATCGTTATTTTGATTACTTTTTTGATTACTTTTTTGATTGATGCATACTAACTACATTTAGGAATTCGAAAAATAAAATCATTAACATTGTAAATCATCTTTATTTTTTGATCAGTCTCAGTTTTTTAATAATTATTATACTTAAGAAAACAATGAAGAATTTTTTTTTATCAATATATATTAAAATATATCAAGAACTAGCTGGCCCGGCAAACTTCGTACCGCCTACAAATGTTTTTTCTCACCTTATAAATCTTCCCTGGACTCCCACGAACATTTCAAGACCAAAATTATCCAAATCGGTTCAGCTGTTCTTGAGTTTTAGCGAGACTAACGAACGGAAATTGATTTTTATTTATATGTATAGATGTATAGATTATAAAAAAGATTTAAATAACGAAAGAGTACAAAACGTCCATGACATCCAAATTGGATCAGAAGTTTTTAGAAAAACTCAGACATACAAGATACATACTGATTGAATATAGAACCGCATTTATTAAAAATATGTTTAAAAAATTAATCAAATCTACCCATGTAATTAAGATTACTGATTATTGTAATCAAAACTAATGATTACAAATGTAGTCATGATTGAAAGTAATCAAGATTAAAAGTAATCATGATTGATGTAATCATGATTACTTTCAATCAGATTATTAATCCGATTACAAAAGTAGTTGATTACGCCCAACTCTGCTGTCGAGATAGTATTTTTATGGGAAATAATTTTTGATCTGACAATATTTTTATACAAGTGAGGTGCGTTCGAAAGCTGAGTACTTTACTGGTTAACCAAATCAAATTATGAACTATGTAAACTTTTTCAAAACATTCTTATCAAAACAATAGCCTTCCTGCAGTCGAGTAATAACGCCTAGTAAGTATAATGAAACTATGATTCTGATTATGACTATGATTATGACCCTTCATTCATAACAGGTACTTCGGAACGCAATTTTCAATGTTGTTTGATGCGAATGGGCCAGTAGTAATAAAGGTTACAACTGTCAATTTTACATTACGCGATTGGTCATAATTTTTTGTCCTCTAGTTTTAAACCAATGAAAATCGCTCTATTTTATATAATCTGACGTAAAGAATTTACTAAACATACTTGACTTGGGTGTTGTCCGGCTTGATGATTGTAACAACGCTAGCGTAATGATCAAACAGTTTTTTATTAAATGATTTTCTGACTGTTACATTACGTTCTTATTAGAAGCATAAATTAAATAGCTATGAAATTATGATGAGTGGTGTCGTGTATTATTTCTTTGTGTTGCTTTGCTATAGCATTACGAAATCTGATGCAGGTTAGTATAACGATTATTTTTAACAAGTCTTTGCTGTTTTTCCTTTCTTATTCAAACATGTAACGTCTTCTTGTAATGAAATTAACGAGATTTATTTTCATTTCAAATAGTTATTTGTAAAATATTATTTAACGTACTTATTCTTCGAAAATTAAAAATTTCACGTTTCTATCAGTCTTGTTTACTTCGTGAATAAATTAGTTTAGTCAACCCTGAAAACGCTGTCCCTGTTACTATTTTCGTAATTTCATGACACGACACATGTGTTTTAATTTAATGGTTTTGTTTTCAGACTCGATAAGATACTATTACGATTACGAATGTAATCAGCCTCTTGTTGCGAACTCTAAGTTGACTGCTACATCGAGCCTAAGAGACAGGGGACCTGAGAATGCTAAGTTGTATGGTGAGTATGCAATGTGTGATGCACCATTAACTTTTGGCCTCTATGTTGGATCAATTCTATGTCAATTCTTACACACAGGCCAGAGTATGTACTTATAATTTATAGAATAAAATAAAATACTGCTATTCAAGTATTCCATTGACACTGAGGATAGGCTTGCAGTAGATGTTGTAAACATGATGATATGCTAACAATAGGCTGATAAATGAAATTGTCTATAAACTAATTATCTCAGGTTATCAGCTTATTATTATTTGTTACTATAACAACCATAATAAAGTTTGTACATAAAAAATATGTGAATGTAATATTTTGGTTTCATTATCAGGTAATGTTAGCATACATCATTAAGTTAAATTATGGATAGAAAATATATAACGAGGGGTAACGGACTATTTGGTTTAAGCGACATTTTGGGCAATATTGAGTTATATATATATTCGGAATCAGCGAATTTTTCTCCGTCGAATATATATAATAACTCAATATCGCCCAAAATGTCGCTTAAACCAAATAGCCCGTTACCCCTCGATAATATTATCACAAGTATCATTTTTGCCTTTGCTGCACTGGTAGTGTTTCATAACATTTGATGACTGAAGTTGCCATTAAATTTATGTATGTTGTCGGAAATGTTATGAATCATTCACCAAGGTATGCTAGTGAATGCCGTAGGACATGAGCCAGCTAAATTGGCAACATTTACATCTTTTTTATTTTCATTTGGGGATGAAATCATGCCATTATTTTTGCATGTTGTGTGTTGTGTTTGTGATTCAGTTGCCAAAGTTATAGTTTATGCTTCTTAACCTGTGAAATGTTTTAAAAAAAAATCAGAAATATCTAAAAAGGATACCGAAAGTAACAGGGTTCATTAATTCATCTGCAGGTCCGTTATCAGTATAAAAGTCTATATAGTTGGACCTCAGTAACGATACTAAATAGAGACTTTACAACCAAAATGGCCAATGCTAATGTCAGATGGGCATTCAATGCCACAGAGTGGACACCTACCCAGGAGGAGATAACAGCTGCATCAAGTTATATACAGCAAGAGGAGAAGCAAAGAATTGCTAGATTTGTGTTCCAAAATGATGCAAAATCATCACTGGTTGGTCGCTTGATGCTGAGAAAATTTGTTTACGACACAACTAATATTCCTTATGATCAAATACGCTTCAGTAGGGATGACAAAGGTAAACCCTATCTTGTGGAGTCTGGGGATGTACCGATTACATTCAATGTGTCTCACCAAGGAGACTTTGTGGTTCTGGCTGGCAATAATGATAGAAATATTGGTATTGATGTCATGAAAATAGAACCTCCTGCTAACAAGAACATTCCAGAATTCTTTCGTATTATGACGCGTCAGTTTTCGTCACACGAATGGTCTACGATACGCAGTTTTCCAACGGAAATGGAACAGATCGCGTGTTTCTATCGCATTTGGTGCCTCAAAGAAAGTTATGTGAAGAATATAGGGTTTGGTATAACTGTACCCTTGGATGAAATAAGTTTCTCTATAAAAACACGCAAGTTGGAAGTGGGGAAGCTAGTAACTGATACGGTCTTGCATGTGAAGAATGTTGTGAAACAGGGGTGGCTGTTTGAAGAAACCTTACTGGATGATAAACATGCTGTAGCTGTGTCTTTAAAGGTTGAAGATGGGAACTATGCTCAGACACCTTATACTTATCTCACTTTTGATGAAATTGTGGAGGGAGCAAAACCCCTGCATGAACCAGACATGCAGTTTAGTTCTGACTTTGTTGAGAAGCAAATGAAAAATTTTTAGATTAAGAAGATATGAGAAATCTCGAATTTATAGTAAAAATATCCTATATATTTTCTTATAGTTGTAATGTCAACAATTGGCTATGTGTTATATTTTAAAAATTTGGGTTGCTTTGGTTTATATAGATGTTATATCGGTTTAGGATTATATTACTTAGTGTTAGACATTCAATAAATGGCAAAGGCAAATAAACAATTATTTAAATAACATTAAAGTATCATTTCTCCAACTAACAGTATCTACTAATGGCACAAGCTACCTTGTGATATAAATTAGCAAATTTTCCCACACTGAAAAGGTTTGAATGCTTGGACGGCGTCGGAGAATGACTTCGACCAGCAGCTGGTCATTGACCTGGGTAGCGTAAAGAACATCACGCGGGTGGCTACGCAGGGCCGCGCTCACTCCCAGGAGTTTGTCCAGGAGTACCATATCAGCTATGGCTCCAATGGCCTCGATTACGTTCAGTATAAGGCAGCTGGAGGCGAAGTCAAGGTAAAGCAATAAATGAAATACTTGAAATATGACTAACAGGTTGAGAGGTTGCTTGCATGAGGCTTTTTATTTGTTTTGGTTTTCTTGCAGTGTTTTGTAGCGCCATTTCTTTATTATTTGGTAGAAGGTAGATTTTAGTTGCTATTTTGTTCTTTCTGGATACTTTTTATGAGTTTTAAGGAATTTGGGCTTTATTTTAATGACAGTTCGAAGTAGGTTTAGTTAAAAGAGGAGCTCATTGAGATAGATAGACGTTAGATGGCGTTAAATTACATTATATTGGAGAGAGCTTAATTTCTTTTAACTGCAAACAATATAAATAAAGCACAGTGAAATACTTCCCATGGTGTGTGAATTGCTGAATGATATATCGTGAACGATCACATAAATAAAGATCAAAGTAAAAAAAAAAGTCAGTGAACCAGATTCGAGTCTGGTCTTATGAAACAGCAGGGTGGCTAATTGTCTATACTTTATTGATATTAACGGTGTTAAGTGGACATTTATATAGTCGCTTACAAAAGTTCTCATTCATTAAATCACGCACCATGAAGTTGAACCTATTGTTTCTGTTCATTCACTGCTGTACAATAGGCTGCTTACCCTAAACATTTACCCTTCATAAAATAGTTGACTTGGGTAGAATAACTATTCGGTTTCAACACAATTGTATATAAAACACTGAAAATAATATCGATTCCTCTAATTTTCTTTACATTCATAACTATTTTAACATCTTTTCACGTCTAATTACAAGCCTGATTGTGGTAATGCTACCCATCTCCATTCGATTCAAGGACCATTGTGAATATGCTCTCATTGAATGCGACCATTATGTGGCTGAACAAAGCCATTGCATTTATGTGAAATCTCAATGTTCGGTACCTAACGCTTTATGTCGTCCTCTATAATTTTTATTCTCTAAATAAAAAAAAATATTCTGCTTTTGCGTTAATTCAAAACTTTGTTGAAGTTACAGTTCACTGTAAATAAAACAAAAGTTTAAGTCTTTTATCCTTTTGTGATTTACTTATGATTTATTTTTTTATGTTCTTATTTCTTTTGTCAATTGATAATTTTCTCTTGACACCAAACCTCAACGTTAGAAGTATTAAATAAATAAATAAAGATTAAATTACCATCCACAATCACGTTTGTGAAGTATCAATAGCACTAACTAACATAACGGTGAAGGGACGTCGGCATGGACGGCTCGGGAGAGCTCCTACTACCAGCACCTGACCATACAGCTGGACAAGAGGAGAGAAATGCGTGGCATTGCCACCCGCGGCCGCTTCGCCACCGACGAGTACGTTACCGAGTATATGCTCCAGTACTCCGACGATGGCGAGAGCTGGCGACCTATCACCACCGACGATGGGTTCACGAAGGTAGGTCATGGTGGAAAGTTACTAACAGTTTGCATCATCTAATATGGGAGCACGGTTTTCAATAACATTATGATGGACGGTTTGAAAATAGCGTATCATTTTCACATCACTGTCTATGATGAGTGATGATAATGTGTGTAGCGTGTGGAACGTTTACATGTTCTTCGAGCTCATACGTAAACTATGGAAAAACAAAGGGCCTTTAAAGGACACGCAAACATAGAGTTTACATTTGCCTGTTAATTGATAGTCTGGTGAAGAATCATGTTTTAAATTTTGTACCATTAATAATATGATGTGTTTGTATGTTATTTTCCAAAGGGTAGGCAGATGTAGGCCACTTCACCAGTTATCTTATATTTACTTTTTTCTGAGAGTTTGTTTGTTTGAACACGTTAATCTCTGGAACTACTGGTCCGATTTAAATATTTATTTGTGGGTTGGGTCGTGCGTTTATCGAGGAAAGCTATAAAATATCACGGTATGACCAATAGGAGCAGAGCGGGTGAAATCGCGCCGGAGTAGCTAGTTATCTTACAAGCCCATAAAATGCAAGCAACGAGACTGTTCTGTCTTATACCCTGAAACTTTTCCAAGCTCCTTGCTATGTATGCTTCTACTGAGAGTTTCAAAGTCGAAAATACAGTACTGCATAGACCCGAAGTCAGATTCAATAATGTGATATTTAAGAAAAAGAAATTTCAAAATAACAAATGACATTAATGGGAATTGGTAACTCCCTGCTTATAGCTTACAGCTCAATACTTGGAAACTGTTAAGTAACTAAACAAACAAATGTGATATCCATTTACCTTATACATACAGGAAATTAGTGTCAAACAGCTCGTCAATAAGGTTCATATTCCCACAGATGTTCGAAGGTAACCATGACGGGAATACAGTGGAGAAAAATGAATTCGAAGTGCCTATTATAGCGCAGTTCATTCGGATCAACCCGATGAGATGGCGTGACAAGATCTCCATGAGAGTCGAAGTCTATGGATGCGATTATGGTACGTATGAGTGTATACAGAAATGTCATAATATTTTGATAGATGTTTACATTCATTAATGCATAAACTTAACGTTTTTGTCCCACAAAGGTGTGCAGATAATACAGATAACACAAACATTCTTGTATCTAGCCATACAACTTGCAAGCAAGGTTTATGTAGCAATGAAATAGCTAATATATACTTATGACATGAATTGGATACGTATATAGTTAAAAATAATTTAACAGCAAACTTTATGTATCTTATACGATTTCGAAAATAATGTTAAGTGCTTGCCTTGGAGTGCAAGTGCTATGAATATGAAAATATCAACGTCACATCCTGCACTACTGGGTGAAGACTGTTGGTACTAAAGTTTATGACTTTCTTAAAACAATAAACTAGAATACCATAAATATTAGTAATTGAGAACTGTTGTAAAATAGTGTTAGTGGTACAACATGACCAACTTTATAGGGCTGATACTAACATAAACATCAGCTTGTGTTCCACATAGTGTTACTTTTAATAATTCATTAGATTTTAGGTCATCATATTTTCACATTTAACCTGCATATTATACAGTTTAGCAGAAACTTCCTTGCAGTATACAAAACGGGTGGTTTGCATATTAGTGTTGCGTGCTAACAAGTACTTCTAAATCAGGACGCCCTAATTTACGATTGACGTAAGCTCTAATAACGATATGTCGATATTCTCCGAAATGTTATGTATCTTTCATAAATATGTAATAACTAGAACATCTATGTATTCATAGTGGATTTTATTCTTGTATGGTAAACTTAAAAAAAATAAGCTCTTACGGTAAATAGACCTAAGTCTACCGTGTAGTTTCACCTCCTTCATCCATTTATAACAATTTGTAATCAAACATTTAAAAATATCTAACAAATGAATGTTCCCATAACAGTTGCGGATACCCTATACTTCAATGGTTCCTCTATGGTGAAAATGGATTTACTACGCGACCCAATATCGGCGTCCCGCGAGGTGATCCGCTTCAGGTTCAAGACCAGTACAGCATCAGGCGCGCTCATGTACTCCAGAGGAACGCAAGGAGATTACCTGGCACTCCAGCTCAGAGATAACAGACTTGTGCTTAACATTGATTTAGGTGAGTTTAACAGAATCTTAAGTTCTTTTGGATATTTAAAGGAGATTTAGTTTTAATTTGAAACCGTATTAACGTAACGTAGTTGTTTCTTATTTATATTATAATTAATGTTTACACTCACGTGTCGTAATTTTAGACAATAACACTTAATTAACATCTATAAATTATCTTTCATGGTCTCAGGATCTGGTACAGCAACATCGCTATCAGTGGGCAGTTTACTAGACGACAATATCTGGCACGACGTGGTGGTCTCCCGCAACCGACGCTCCGTCATCTTCTCTGTGGACCGAGTCATCGTACAGGACCGGATCAAGGGAGAGTTCTCGCGACTCAACCTTAACAGAGCTGTCAGTACATACTTTATCAATCCACAATACAGTACAAGAACTCTTTTTTGGTCCTTTAGAATTTAGTTTTAATAATACTTTGTTGTTACAGTTCTACATAGGAGGTGTGCCAAACTTCCAAGAGGGTTTGGTTGTGAACCAAAACTTCACTGGTTGTATAGAGAACATGTACCTGAACGCCACCAATGTGATACAAGACTTGAAGCTAGGCTACGAGTCCGGCGAGCCATTCAAGTTCCAGAAATTCAACACGCTTTACGCTTGTCCAGTAAGTATACTTTTTTACATCTTTGCGTTGTTTATCCGCGTAAGGTCACCGGAGACCCAATCAATCCCAAAAGGCCGTCAACGCCGCACTTCTAACTCCTCTAGTGTTGCGGATGTCATTTACCGGCTAATTTCATAAAAAGTAAATATTGTTTTAATCTTATCATTCTATACCTCTTAATCCTCTTTGTTTACTACAGGAGCCGCCAGTAGTGCCTATAACGTTCCTGAAGGAGGGTTCGTACGCCAAGCTACGTGGTTACTCGGGCGGTAACACTCTCAACATATCTATGGAGTTCCGAACGTATGAACAGCATGGACTATTGATCTATCACAAGTTTAACACTGAGGGACACGTTAAAGTAAGTATACAGTTTATTAGTGAAAATAAACTAATTCTATAATATCTCTGGATTTCCTTTGAAGAATTAAAGAAGTTACAGTTTAATGAGCATCACAGTTGCAGCATTTTTTTATTATTCACGTGGATCCGAATATCTTTATAATCAGTCAATTTCATTAGAGAGTCACCTTTAATATAAAATGAAGTATCAATGACACACTTGCTGAAACATTTCAATTTTGTTCCCGAAGTGACTCAAAACAGCTATGTTTTACAAGGAAACAGTTGAGGTTAATGAAGACTTATTTTTCCAGGTGTACATAGAAGAAGGAAGAGTAAAAGTAGAATTAGAAACTCCTGGCTCTCCTCGAGTGAAGCTGGATAACTATGCAGAAGAGTTCAATGATGGACGATGGCATTCACTGCTCTTGACAATGGCTACTGATAGCCTTGTTCTGGCTGTAGACTATAGACCTGTCAAGACATTGAAGAAACTTAGATTTATGACGGGCAGCACTTATTATATCGCAGGTAATGTCTATAGGCTTTTGTTTGAGTTTTCTATATTGGATTTTATTGCGAATTCTTATAGTGAGTTCACATCTGGTCAATTCGCCGCATGTGTATACAATAAAATTATAAATAGACAGTGAAATGACTTTAGAGGGATTCGATCTCAACTTTGTGACGTCAACCAATATCAACTAGAAACACTATTAACTTTTTCGTAGCTTATTATTGAAGTTTTATATAGGAGTTGTTAAGGACGCTAAATTTTTTTGTTTTTGCTGTTGCTAAGGAAGTAAGCAGGTTGCCAGGAGGAAATACAAATAGTTTTTGATTACGTTGTGTAGGTGGAAAAGCTCCCCCGCGCGGTTTCATCGGGTGTATGCGCAAGATAGCAGTGGATGGAAACTACCGCCTGCCCACCGACTGGAAGAAGGAGGAGTACTGCTGTCCTAACGAAGTGGTGTTCGATGCTTGTCAGATGATTGACAGGTACAATCTATCATATTTTCTGTTTTAGTACACTTTATACACACTATGATCACGCCAGTCTGCCTGCCATGTTTCTAATTGTCTGCATGCATACTAATCGATAGAGAGTAATTTTCAAAGAACTAAAATTGTCTTTTGACTTAGTGCATAAAGATGTCAGCATAACAAATTATTTAAAATTATGTTAAATAGATTTTCAACTTTATAATTCTGCAGTAGGGTTGAAGATCGTTTGTATAAGTGTCTTGTCCATTCCAGATGCAACCCCAACCCCTGCGAGCACGGCGGGCTGTGTACTCAGACGGCGGACGAGTTCTCCTGTAACTGTCAGGGGACCGGGTACGCCGGGGCCGTCTGCCATACTTGTACGTATATTCACATGGTTCATTTAGTTAAATACGTGGTTATAATTATAAGTAATGCGCCTGTTTCTGGTTGTAGAAATGATATTTTTGTCTGACATTGTTCATTTACATAACATGTTAATATGCCTAAAGTCTTTAGTTATTAGTCATATTTACAGCTTACGTTTAAGAGTTCCGGTTGCGCTCGAAACTTGTCGAGCTTCCTGAAAATGGGATGATTTGAGTAAACCTCATAAACACAATAAATATATTTTACAATAGTTTTTAAATAATAAACAGCACTATATAGTGCAGATATCCGCCCATGATATTAACGTTGTACGACTACCCGGCAGCCACGCACCCCCTGTCGTGCCAGGCGTACAAGAACGTGCAGGCCGTGTCCCGCTCGGCCGACATCCACATCGACGTGGACGGCTCCGGACCTCTGCCGGCCTTCCCCGTCACTTGCGAGTTTTACTGTGAGTTTCTTATTTTTTAATAGTTTGCAAATGTGCAAAGGTACATTCTCTAAAGGTCGTGATGGGAAATGATCCAAATCTATTGGTAGTCTAACGCTCGAATCCTGAAAGGCTACTCAATTTTAAGTTCTACTTAAATATCGTGTCATCTCTGTCATTTTTAGTGACAGAACTATATTAGCGCGACTTAATATTGACTGACTTTTGAGTATTCTAGCGTAAGTCCTACTTACAAGTTTTGTGTTCGTTAAATGCACCATGAACATCAAATTCATCTCAAAACACAATTAAAATGTTTCCTATTGATTATAACGTTTTCTTTTCACCTGTTCTGAATATTTCCAAGTATCAAGTAATTAGGATTAGTTTACCTACCACTATACAGAATTCAACACGAAGAAACTTACTTATCTGGAATATAATGCGTGATTTTTGTATCCGTTAATTTAATTCTAAATTCCTTTCCAGCGGACGGTCGTATAATAACTGCAGTGCAGCACTCGTCGTCCCAGAACACAGTAGTGGATGGGTACCAGGAGCCTGGCAGCTTCCGGCAGGACATCATATACGATGCCTCGATACGACAACTCGAGGCTCTGCTCAATAGATCCGAGAACTGCATGCAACATCTCGAGTATATGTGCAAACATTCACGGCTGCTCAATTCGCCAAGTAAGTTGTATTTTGGTTTGTTATTTATTGTGGAATGACGTAATATGGATTAGGTTTGTATATGTTGAGCTGTTTAACACGTTAACCGCCGCGTAGGTCACCGGTGACCTACGTTAGCGGAGGATTTGCCTTCAACAGTTTTCTGTCGGCAGTCAAAGGCTTAACCTTACCGTCACAGTTTGCTTTAAACGATAGACAAAAATTGTGGTGATCTGCTATTCCCGCTCATAGCCGATAAAAAGCGTAATTTTTTAACACATAAAGAAGTTAGAGTTTCTGATATCTGATGAGAATGGTATACCTACTTATAACACCAATGCCAAGTAATCTAGATGAAGAAATAAACTAACGCAGATTTGTAATGTGTCGAAGTACTTTGAGCCGTCATTTCATTGTCATTTTCGAGTATAAATATTAGATTAAAGTGTTGAGCAATGTAGCAGTCGTATGCGTGTCCAGGCGAGGAGTCGTCGTTCCACCCGTTCGCATGGTGGGTGTCCCGCGCGGGGCAGCGCATGGCCCACTGGGCGGGCGCGCCGCCCGGCTCGCGCATGTGTCAGTGCGGCCTGCTGGGCTCCTGCAGCGACCCCACCAAGTGGTGCAACTGTGACGCCGAGCATGGGAAGCCCGATGGTAACTATACACCACTTTTTCCACAGTCTGTTTACAATTAGGTTGTCTAGAAGACGTAATATTCACTGATTAAGATTTCATCGCGTTAATGTTGGCTACAATTTGTATGGAATCGGTACTGGCGCCATATTAATCATAGTTAACTCAAATATTCGCCAAATGAAAACCGCATAAAATTCAGTCATTATTTTTTGAGTTTATCGCCATATAAAACAGAAAGAAAGCTACTAACATCTTAAACTCATAATATAAACAGAATTCCAAGTGGACGGCGGAGAAATTACAGAGAAAGAGTTCCTACCAGTAAAACAGGTTCGCTTCGGAGACACCGGGTCACATCTAGACGAGAAGGAGGGACGATATACACTCGGACCTCTACTGTGCGAGGGAGACGGTATGTTCTTTGTTAAAATATTACCATCTTAAATAAATATAAGCAATGTAATGGTTCTTGTTTTAATTCAATAAATATATAAAATTTTCAATGTCATATAGTAATACAATTCAAAATTAAATAGAGTTTAGATGTTTTATGAATATATTTTACTGTGCCAGCTCATACTAAGTTAGTAAGCCCTTTTGGCCATGTTGCCATGTTGTTTCTTTTTTTTTATCGTTTTTTATTGTTTATTCGTTTACTACTGTTTCTGTTTGTGTATTTGGTGCATCATGCAGGATAAATTACTTTTCTTTCTTCTTATTTCTAAAAAAAGCTTTGTTTTGCTTCAGATTTGTTTAGTAACGCGGTAACATTCCGTATATCTGACGCCATCATCACGTTGCCGATGTTTGACCTCGGCCACAGTGGCGACATCTACTTCGAGTTCAAGACCACCAGAGAGAATGCAGTGCTTCTACATTCAAAGGTAAGGCGAAGAATGATAGGGATTTGTATACAGGGTGTAAACGGAACGCTCCCGAAAAACGCTGATAGATTATGGTCAAAAACCAGTTTTATTTTCATGAAAGTAAGATATTAAATGTTTCCTTTATGTAATAACTAGCTTTAAAGGATAAAAAGTAGCCTGTGACATGATAATATACCAATACACACAGCGCCATCTATACCAATACTTTTGTTTTCCCTCGGGAATATCAAATTTTTCCGGGATAAAAAGTACCCTATTATTTAATCCGGACTTCTAACTTTACGTCTGCAAAAATTCAAAGCATACGATTTAGTGGTTACGGTGTAAAAGCGGAACAATCAAACAAACTCACTTTCCGATTTATAATATTAGTAAGGATTATTGTAATTAACGCTCAACAAGGCTGACGTTGTATGAATAACATGTGAACAACAACGATTAACATTTTAAAAACTATTATGTTTGTCAGCGTTTTTCGGGAGCGTTCCGTTTACACCCTGTATAGTATTATTAGTCGAGATGAAACATGGGTTATTTACTTAATTACCTATGTTCTAGAACGTCCAAAAAGTCCTTCGTTTAATCCGTCGATTTAGTCTACTAGATGTTTTCTCGCCGATGTAAACTTAATATTTTGATTTGGAGCCTGAATCTGAACTTATAATGGTATGCAGGGTCCGCAAGACTACATAAAGCTGTCCATTATCGGCGGAGACCAGCTACAGTTCCAGTTCCAAGTGGGCGACACTCCACTAGGCGTGTCAGTGGAGACTAGTAACCGATTGGCTGATAACAACTGGCACTCTGTCAGTATTGAACGGAACAGGTATGTTGAAGATGGCATAGTGTATATGCCATTTATTGGTGACAATCTGCTTTTTCTTACCCAAGTTACTTTGGGATTGGTGTCATAAATTCATAATATGTTTTCGTTGGTCTTCCTTGTCTAAGATTTCGTCAGAAACTGCGTTCTTTTTATGAATCGTCATACCGTACAATATTATTCATCTTTAATCGTCGTCTGTTTTCGAGAACGCTAGTTTCTGGGGGTGGAATTGAGTGTGTGGTACCTCATTCAGAACTGTTGATTTTTGTTGGTTAATTCTGTAGCATCATTATAGTCGAGAGGGTTTATAGCGTCGAAGTACGAGTCTCCTACGTGCTGATCTGTTAGAAAGGGAATGTAGTGGAGTATAATGCGTGTGCTGCAGGAAAGAGGCCCGCGTGGTGGTGGACGGCGCGCTGAAGAACGAGATCCGCACGGCGCGCGAGCCGGCGCGCGCGCTGCAGCTGAGCACGGGGCTGGCGCTGGGCGCCGCGCTCGACCGCGCCGGCGGCTTCGTCGGCTGCATGCGCGCCCTGCTGCTCAACGGGCGGCCCGTCGACCTGCGCCAGCACGCACGGAGGGGTGAGGACCAACTACCTAACTCATGTTTCATACTGTCTCCCTACAGGACAAAGTTTACATCTCACATACATGTCACATACACATCATACATACACAAATATTAATATCATTATATAATACGCTTGCTCAAGGCCAGTTTTGTAATTATAATAATAATAATAATAAATTTATTCAATATTCAAAAAATGCAAAATACAAAACATATCGTAAATACGTACAATTGTCCTCACAATGTTAAATGCCTGCACTAGGACAATCCTGTATCGCAGACGAGAGGAGTTCTAAATATAATTCTTATAGTAACACATTTTATTTCTACAGAGCCATATACTTAACATTATACAACAGAAAACAATATGATTATTTTAATATACATACATACATACATATAAAACTAATCCTCATATAAAATATACTATAATATACCTAATAAATATATTAAAATAACAACTAAAGTAAGATTTGTTTAAAACAGCAACATTATTTTTATCGACGAGGAATTATCTACATCAGCAGAAATAAACTAAGTAGGCTAACACTAAAGTCCATAGGTCATTCATTTGAGTTTGAGAAACACAACGTTTGAGTAAGCACAAATGCTGGATAGCAACAAAGTGATGTTTAATCTAACATAATATGTAGTGTCACTGTTGTGCAATAAGTAGGCCAATCAACTCAGAAGTATGACGCATTACGCGCCCTCGTAATCAATCGAGTTGATATACCTGTGCTGAGCTATGTAATGTAATGTAATGTAATGTAATGTAATTAGTTGCAAATAGAACTTTGTTGCCTGAATACTGAAACGTTCTCAATTTTAAGTCGCGCTTAAGTATAGTACTGTCGCTATAAATTCTCTGTAAAATGACAGAGATGGCACGATATTTAAGTAGAACTTTAAATTGTGTAATGTTTCAGTATTCCGGCATTCTTCTGTCATTTTTAAATATAGAACAACATTAATACAAATTTTTCTTTCTTCAATTACCTAATTTTATTATGATAATTCTGAGATAATTCATTCATACAATAATTGTATTCTATGTATCAGGTCTATACGGAGTATCAGAAGGCTGTATGGGTAAATGTGCTTCGTCTCCATGTCTAAACAACGGAACGTGTCTGGAAGGATATGACTCCTACTCCTGCGACTGTCGCTGGACTGCCTTCAAGGGACCTATCTGTGCTGATGGTAATTTTAATTCTAATATACTACTATAATCTTTATAGGACAATATCGTCGTCGTATATATAGTATAAATTGTTTTAAAGGAAAAGAAACAGATGCTATGTAAACAGTATCTAGTATAACATACCGATATTATAGATGCCAGCTCATGAAATAAGTCCAAATTACTGTAAGATGTTTACTTTTTTCCTCACCTTAGTTTCGTATAATAATAAACTTACCTGTAATGTTCCATGAAGAAACTGAATTATAAAATGTAATTTTCTTTAGAAATCGGCGTGAACCTCCGGCCAAACTCAATAATAAAGTACGACTTCCTGGGCTCATGGCGGTCTACTATTGCGGAGAAGATCCGCGTCGGCTTCACGACGACTAACCCTAAGGGATTCCTACTCGGATTCTATTCCAATATCTCAGGAGAATATCTTACTCTACAAGTTTCTAACTCAGGTAAGGACTAAATAATTACTATGACAATTTTTATAAACACAGGTGTGTGTTTTGTGCAAAATCTTGTGTTAACTTGTATTATTATACATCGCCCATGAAATAAATAAAGTGTCTACACGCCGTATGTCCTTTTAGGCTTCTCATGAGATGCTCAATTTTGTGCTCAAAGTATTTACAAATGCATTTTGTGATACGCAGGTCATCTCCGCGTGGTATTTGACTTCGGATTCGAGCGACAAGAGATAATATTCCAAGGGAAACACTTCGCACTGGGACAGTATCACGATGTACGACTGTCCAGGAAGAATAGTGGAGCTACTATGGTGTTACAGGTATGTACTAGATCTTGATGATTTATCACAGGATTAAAACATTAATATTTTATGGTTTACGTAAAAAGATCATTTATATATTATAGTAAATTTTAGTTTTTGAAAACTTATTTTATTGGGTTTGAAACGAACTTTATGACTGTTGAAAGGGATTAGTTACAGTCTGGGTAAAATACCATAATTCTTATTTGTCGTTGTCTACACTTGACCAACATTTTCCTTGTAATAGTTTGATATTGTAATATTTTTTTATCTTTAGGTTGACAACTACGAGACACAAGAATACAACTTTAACATCAAGGAGTCAGCAGACGCCCAGTTCAACAACATCCAGTACATGTACATAGGACGGAACGAGTCCATGAACGAAGGGTTCGTGGGCTGCGTCAGTCGAGTGGAGTTCGACGATATATACCCACTCAAGTTACTGTTCCAACAGGACCCACCGCCTAATGTACGCAGTTTGGGAGGTAAGGGGATATTATGGTTTTCTCTTCTTATTTTTATTATAAAGCAGGAGAGATATATTGAATTTAAGAGTCCATGGCCGCGTTGATCGCTTACCACCAAGTGATTCGTCTGCTCGTTTGGGCCCTAACCCATAAAAACAATTGCTGATTTTTATGTATTGGCATAATACCGTGATCACTTTATCTGACCCTTCTTGACACTCAATCATTACAATATGAGTATGAAGAGACGTGTTTTGACTATTGCTTTAATTCCAGGAGGAGTACTGAGTGAGGACTTCTGTGGCGTAGAGCCAGTGACACATCCACCCGAGGCAGTGGAGACAAGACCTCCGCCTGACCTGGACCTGCAACATGAACTGGACCTGCATAATACTGACGAAGCTATCCTCGGCAGTATGTACCCTATTTTGTCATACAGCTTGACCAAATTACCATTTTAGACTGTTGACAAATCACTCAAATCTCTCATTCTAATGCTTTCATAACCTTTTTGTGCGTGATTAAAGTCTTAGAATAACACTTTTATGATAAGATTCAACAGCAAAAACAGCAGAGACAGCTGAACAGAAAATAACTTGAAAAACATTGGTATACCTAACAATCCTTATATCAATCTACAAATATTATAATACTTGAAAAATGTGATGATTTTGTTTTTGTAAATTCTAAGTAATGTTTATATTTGCAGCGGTTCTGGCGTTCATATTCCTGCTACTGATCATAGTCGCCATCGTACTGGTGCGGGCACTCTCCAGACATAAGGGCGAATATCTAACACAGGTATGTTGAACTCCTTTCAGACAGTATAGATACATCAACCGACTTTGTTATCCGTAGCTGTGGTTAAGCAATAACTACAGAGAGCTTACTACGATTCTTATATAGTTCTTAATGCACGCTGAAACTATTGATGCAATAGGTGATTTATTTAAAATGATATTATTATATTTTCGAGGGTATGTGGAATATATTTAATTGGTATCGTAGGAGGAGCGTGGCGCGGAAGGAGCGTCGGACCCGGACGCGGCCGCGCTGGCCGCCGCCACCGGCCCGCGCGTCACCAAGCGCAGGGAGTTCTTCATATAGGACATACTGACACAGACATACTAGCTCAGCTCTACAGAGTATACTACCTTGCAGAGACCTTACACGCGGTAATTCAGGCCATGAAAGTGGATACGGTTTTAGCATTCAAGTGTAAAATAATGTTTACACTTTACACATAGAATCTGACAAGACACGAGTTGACTTGTATAAACATCTTACAAAAATCTTGAATTTCCAAAGTATTTCAGTTTCATGGCCTAAATCAAGACATTGTAAGGTTTACTCTGTTTGGCTTGGATACATACTGACATAACAGACGGCAATCCATTAAAATATAAATACATTGCTTCCATCAAATTCTAAGGCATATGAAACATAATTATATCTTTGCAAATGCCTTTACATAAATGTATTTTGCTACGTATATGACATAAAAGAGTATATCCAAGTATATATCCTGTTTCGCAAATCAAAATGCACGTTTAAACTGAAAACTAGTACAAGATAATGTTGTAAGGACAATATTCGAGTATTACATTGTCATTATATGACTAAAAATTAGAATAAAATTATTCCATAACTGTTGATTAACTAAAATGTACCTTTTCATATCGTAATAAAGCGTCTTTTATCAGTTGTACGTAAACGCAACCACAAACGTTACGTTAGGTATCACAAAATGCAATCTACATGATTATATTCCCCCTGTTTATTTATATGGTAGGTCGCAGCGTTAGAATTTATCCCATTTAAAGTAATCATATGTTAAATTCTAAAGTATTTCTCCCAATAAGTGCCATCTGGCTACTTGCTTACTGTTTAGGCTTCAAGCTACTTATATCAATGAATCTCTTACTCTCTCTCAATTTAGTTCAAAGACTGGATCATTTTCTATTTGTATACTTGCCTTTTCTTGATATTAAACATGAATCTCTATGCTAGAATAGTCCCTTAAAAGATTATTTAGTAAAATGCATTGCCTTTTATTAAACGCATTTGCCGAATTATTATAAGTCTTTCTCTTGTTACTATATCAAATTCATGGTCCATATTGTAATTGTAATGAAATATAAAACCAAAATATACTCGTATATATTTCACACAACATTAGAATAAAATTGAGTCTATTATAGTTCACGCAATAAGGTCGTAATTGCTTTAACACGAGAAATATACGATAATACAAATTAGTGTAAGACTTATAATTAGGTTCTTTATAGTTTTTATAATGAACATTTGATTATATCGACATAGAAGTTTATTTCCTTTAGACTGCTTACTCATAAGCGAATAGAATTATTGTTAGTTTAAGACAAAATACATTGGCAACCATTTTTTTTATTTTGTTCCGTCCAAAATGTTCATTTGCTACTTAATGTTGATTTGATAAATTTTCTATTTGGCGTGATTTATTTTTGTTTTGATTAGAACGAATGATAGGTAAGAAAATGATTAAATTGTATGGTATTGAGATTATTGCATAATTGGCACAAAGTAAAAAATATTTTCAAATCATTCGTTTTAATCAAAATACAGACAAAATCTTAATGAATTATGTTAACTTGTAAAAGTTACGGTGTGTATAATTATTATCAATTATGTACTTTATTTTGTATACAATATGATATTTATTTGAATATTTTATATGATTTGTGTATTTAGTATAAGTTTGATATCTCCAATAGTAAGCTCGTTTACAAAGTTCCGAATAGTAATAGAAAATATGAATTAGTGTCATTGCTTTATCATCGTTAAACAAGTTTTGGAAATTATGGGACGAGCCTTCGACGTCTGAGTCCATGACCAAATTCTTCTATTGTTTCTATAACGTGTCAAGCCGAATCCCCTAAGGCCCGCAACGTACTTATAACTCGAGTGTTGCGGGTGTCCATCGGCGGCACAGATTGCCTACCGTTTGCTGCCTTATCCCATAAAAAACAAGTGCTAAAATCCCATATTTCATTTGATATCCTTAAAAAGCCAATGTCCTTAACGTCAAGAATCTAAAATGATGTTAAACTGATAACATCTCCTTTTGCGTATGTATTATTTTTCAAGATTCCATGTTATTGATGTTCAGAAGGGATAGTGTCGGACTTCAGATGTCGAGGACTACGTCTACTTAGATAGCGTGTGCTTTGAAAATGTAATGAAAGAAACTGAGACTAAGTATTAATCTTGTTACTTATACATATGCTTTAAACTTTAACAGCCTTCTAAAGAATACAATGTTCTAAAAGTTCATACAAAAGCTCTCCATGTATATTTGACACGATTACTTCTTTAGTCTTATGACGAATATCACTTGATTGGACTTGACAGTTAAAGGAAGAATTTGAACTTTATCACGGTGCCATAAGTGTCAATTGTTATATCAAAGTAGCACAGATTTAAAGCAACTGAATTTGAACTCTGTGTAGATGTTTTAAAGTTGATAATTGTGCTGATTCCTGTCAAGTGGTATTGTCGCGGTATCGTAAGGTGTTTGTGCCTTAACTATTCCGAAGCGGGCACATAGGGACATACATAGTGACTCACTGATGTTGTAGCGTGTTGATAGTAGAGTTTTTATTTTACTACTTCGAATATCACGAATAAATTTTCCACAAATACATTATTTTGGTGTTTTCATTTTATATTAACCTTTATTATTATTACCTCATGTTAGTGGTCCCAAGTGTAACCAAACCTCTAAAATGGAATCTCAATATCACTCGCCGTGTTAAGCAAAACATTGTGGGGTTGTTCAATGTTTTCGTGCAATTGCGGGAACAAGAATGATTGATGAACAATGATCACAAATGATCATATCAGCTGAAGATGTCGACATTTTACGTCTAAAGCTGCCTAACATTGTTTTCCTTATTGACATTTGCCACTTAAGCATGTAGTTTACCTGACATTTTTCTCCCTATTGTTCCAAGGGTCGAACTTGGTATAAAAGGCACAGTAACCCCAATGAAGCGTCTCTTACGTGGCTCGGCCCATTATCGGCTTGTCCCACATTCGAGCCCCGCGTCACACTCAGCCAAGCACCTGTGATACTCAACCCGTTTGCAAAATGCTGACTGCCGCCCTCGCGCCCCTCTACCACTTAGACACTGATCGGTAGAGAGGTACTACTATATCGATATGTTACTACCGATGTTAAAATTGGATTAACTGTTTGACGAGGAACTCGACTAGTTTCAAGTCATTCTAGAGGCTCATATTAATGAGCAGCATTCTCATATTAATAGCAGTAGCAGCGCGACAGTCGCCGCGTCGTGGGTCGCGGCGACTGTCGCGCTGCTACTCATGATTGGCCTTAGCCTGAATATGAGCCTCTAGAATGATTTGAAATTAGTCGAGTCTCTCGTCAAACATTTACGTGAGTAAGCCGAAAACATAATAATTAAAATTGGCTTGTTGAAGGGGAAAATTATAGTTTCAAGCAACAATGAATTATATCTTACTATTTCTATGAATCTATTTGTCTTCGACGATTGTGCCACTATACCTATAAAGTACTTACTAAATAAACTAAGTATGTGTATAACTCTTAAATCTCAAGTTCTCTACTAATCTAACCTAACAGGTAATTACCGTCTTTACTATCGATATAATCGCCTCTCTACACAGCCCCAGCGCTTGGCTCTCAGTGGTCGTTTGACCTGAAACGTCGATACATCGACTGTCGAGCACGCGCCGGCACTCCACACCTTTTAGCGAACATCTAGTTCTAGTGCACATTACTAGGTCACTGGGCCAGGTCGTAGGACACGCTTTAGATGATAGGTTTCATTTAGAAAGGTCTCTGAAGTTAATCATTACATTTATTATGATAGAAATATGCATCTTGTTTTTGTACTTATGTATCTTTTTTCGCTTTCTATTAGTCTATATCTTCTTAGTTCAGGTTTGAGCTCATTGGCTGGCACTGGCAATGATGACGATTTAAATAACTAATTAAGAAAGTATATTTTGAAATTCCATTAAAGTAGGTACAGCCAAAAATGTTTATGTAGTTTTTTAGTAGCTTATTAGAAAAACAGGCAAAATTAGAAATGGCATGGGTGCCGATATGTCACATAATTTGGTTGCAGAGTAGATAGATTATTTATAGTTTTGATTAAAAACGACATTTTAATATGCAGGTAGGTACAGAAAGCGTGATGAGGCTGCTTGTTACAATGCCCATCTGCAGACCATACAAATATTGTCGGCACGGTTGGCGCACTGGGTGGGCAATCAGCGTAACGTCTTTGAATATCATATGGAACTATTACTTTCATGATACACAAATCGTGTTCTTTGTTAGCGCTTAATAAATATTCTAAAGTAGTCATTTGTTAATTACCTACTTATCCATCAAAGTCCTAGTACCTTAATCTTAGTAAAAACATTATCTGCTATAGTTTGCCTCCGTGGCAATCTCTATAGGTTCCTATGACGGTCAATCAACAGTTACAATAGACGATTGCGTACGAATCTGATTAAATCTGATATTAACAACACATTACTCTGTCATTACATCCATCACTCATCTAATCCCAAATTAAATAACAATTCAAACAATACGCAGGTATAATAAATCTTCACAATTGCCCCTGGATGTAACCCACTCAATATTTTAAACTACCAGCTTAACCTGACCTCTTCACAAGCTAATATAGGCTGTATTTCAAAGGTGGTAGGGTTGAGTGATTAAAGGTGTTAAAGTAATGGGGCACACAATGGCCGGTGGGTTTAGCCTGCAGACGGGAACACGGTTTGATATTAATCCGTCAGATTGTGATTAGATTCAGTGGCACGGAGTAATATATTCGAAGGTGTCAGCTTTAGTGACGGTCTGTGTCGATGGTTACGAGCATTTACGTTTAGTCATTACAATGGTAGACAATAAAATGCTTGTGTTCAATAACATAATACAAATAAAATAGTTTGCACTATAATTAGTGCAAACTATTAGCTGACAGTAATAATAAATCTGTAAACAAACAATAGTACCTATCATTTCTGATTCAGACAAACATGCTCTAAAAGTAAGTAATTCTAAATCACCCCTTCTACTGTTAGCAAACTGCAACTTTCAAAACTAAACAAAAATCCAAACAAAACCACATCAAAACTTATTTTACGGCCACTCAATATTCATCGTGGAACTATAACTGTAAAACAGAGATCAATAATTGTCGATATTTCACCTCCCTACACATTGGGCGGTGTCGATAAGCGCGCGTGCCGCGGCAAGCGCCCGCCGTCTTAACGTGGAGCACCTTCCCACGTCGATAACTTACACAACACTAAAGTAAACTGAGACGTTTCCTTCGCAGTTAGCCGAGCTTTGATTTCGTTGATTCTATCGAGAATGTTGGCAATTTTTGATAGAGTAAACAAAATGTAAGATTTGAAACAGTAGTTGAGAACTAATTAGATAAACAAAAATGACGTGTGAATTTATAAGTAAAAAATATAGAGAAACGAGTTAATTGAGGTATTTGGCACCTTAATTCTATGCGGTTACGCGTAGCATACTGCTACGTGCTACGCGGCTACGTCCTGCTACGAACTATGAGCACGTCCAGAATTACTTACAAACTACCTTTAATCAAATAGAGACATTATCTATAGAAAGAGTAAGCAATAGTCTAATAACTTATCTTAGAATCAAGACTATAAAGTCCTCTAAACTACACAAACCACTTAATCTGTAGTGAATCAGTTCGTTAAACACCTTTCTATAAACTACGCTCCCTAAGTCCCAAATCCCAATCAGTGTATTGTAAAGTAACTCAATCATAGCCCATTAACCGTCGCTTCGACGTCGCAACGTAATTACCAATAGTCGGCAACTCCAAACAGATTTAGCAGTCGCCAGGCCACGGCCCTAACTTCCCGCTGTCGCTTCATTTTAAACTTTGCAATCCGCTTTGCGACGAGAACCGAAATTAGTTGGAAATTAAAATAGCATCGACGTAGTACACCTGTCTGAGCCGATTATATGAATCGATCAGAGTTTCCGAGGCTTCGCAGTTTTTGGCGTAAATTAACGAAATTTTGTGTTACGTAAGCTTGTGAATTTTAATTGCGGTTTTGTCGAGGTAGGCTTTGTAATTACTGTAATAAACAGACAATAAGCGGAGATTTATGATGCAAGGGAATATTGTTGTTTTTGAAACCATGAACGAGTAAAATAGGGTTTAATTTTTATCTACAGAGAACCATATGTACAAGTGTTATACAAACACCATACAACATACATATTTTATATGTATATTCATTCACCATAAACCATTCATTCACCATAATTATGTATTATGCGGTATCTAATAATTAGACACAAGGGGCCGCCCACGTGGCAGCTTATAATCAGCTGAGATTACAGGGCGCCTGTGATTACAGGGGCCGCATTGATTCACTATTGTGTGCCACATACACCTTGTCATTTGCTAGAGTATTTGTGTATACTGAGTATTCATTGCTCACTTACTGTAAGGGTTCTATCATCTATGTGACATTGAATGTACACCTACGCTTTATACATTAATTATTGCAATGTTAACAAATTATCATTATTTACTGTGCAATTTCGTATATTTGCAATAGATACGTTTTCTTTTAGGTATAGCATTTAACTATCCCGGGTCTGACGACTGATCAATTCTTAGATCAAAGTAAGCATTAATATAAGATAGATGTAAGTTCTATACTTACAAACATAGATACTAACACGACGTGACTATAAACCTAACCTATCCCCCCCCCCCTGACTAAAACTATTACAGTAAACAGACGTAACAAGTCAACCCCCAAATGGCACTCGTAACTGTTCAGTTTATTCTTCCTAACTTGGATCGCTCCCTAGCCTAAAATACCTGTCTTAAAAAGGGTCGCTTCCCCTATAAATGTCCCGTAGAGACCTGTGTTCAGGTGTCACGGCCGTCACGTCAGGTGCCGTAAACACGCTGCAATCAGTTTTTATCGCCATCACGCCCCCGAGACTAGAAGGGTTACTTCTCAAGAGTTTTGGGAACATTCCAACAACTGAGGTAAATGTTTATGTTTGTGGATGAAGCTCAGAGACTTGTTTATACGCTTGCAAATGTTTAATGTGTATTTTCGAAATAGTTACATAATATTTTTATATAGTTCTTAGGATAAGAATCACCTAGAGCACTAGGTGATATGAGAAGACACTCAATTAATTAACCTGCTTGCAGCTTAAACACATGTTGAAACGAATCGAAATTGGTTTCTTGAAACTCTTTGTAATATACAAATATTACCCTTCTTGTAATCCTCCCTCCTAAATAATTTCAACAACCGATTCGAGCGCAATCCGTGCGCATCTCAGCTTAATCCGAAGTTACACAGTCGCCGAGCCCCTCAACATCTAATAAAGTTACTTAAAAAATCCTCCCTGTCACGCTATTATCTGCACAAACTCTTAAAAACAGATTAGCACACTAGAAGGGGCGCGATGATCTTGTCGTAAATTCCTATCTGTCTCAGTTCCATATAAAAAGATTCTCTCAACAAAAGGTGCCACTTTTTATCCGAAAAGAGCACCTGCTTCGCTCGAAACTTGCTCAAAGTTTTCCAAAAGTTCGGTGGAACTTCGCACCGGATGTTGTT